TTGGGTGCGCGTAGTCTCTCCTCAGTTGCTGTTCTGACGAGAGACATGGATGACGAGCGAATATTTCCAAGCGTTTCGCGCCACCTTCGAGTGCGACGAAGGTAGTGGTCCATCGATTTCGTGTACTCTGATACTTCGGGAAAAGGGCAGGATCCCATTCTGGTTACGACGGAAGACAATTGTGAACCTTAACTTAAGCTCGATTCTAGTCACAAAAGTGTTCCCCTGCGCGTAATCGATTCTGCGAATCTGATTTTTTTTTTTTTTATCGAAACGTAAAATGCAACGGTGACTTTATTACGCGAACATAAAGTGACTACCCACCTCTGTTATCGTTTTTGCTTGCTGACTGTTGTAGTATTTAAATAGTTTTATTTTGTTAAACGACTCACACTGTAATGTATTAAAAGTAAGCGCGTAAGTACGATAAGTTGAACTTAGGCTTTTTATCGAATATGTCGAGAAATATGAAGAGAATGTTTAACGAAGAGGAAAAGGGGGAAAGAAAGGAAGAGAAAGGAGAGAAGGGAAGAAACGCAGAAAGGCATATTACGAAGTTACGTCGCATTTAAAGTCGTTGCAGAGATTAATAATCATTGTTATTATTAGACGATATATAGAGGAGAAAGGAGAAGGATATGGCGAGAATGATGATATATGGGTGTATGTGTGTGTATGTGAGGGAGAGAGAGAGAGAGAGAGAGAGACTGAGGGAACGGAAGAAAGAAAGCAGTAGGACACAAGTGGGAAGAAGAGAGCGTGCAGATGTGTGAAAGGACAAGCGTACGGAAGAATGCGAAAGAATATGTTCGCTTATATATACATATATATGTATGCATATACACGCAGGATGAAATTTCAGAAATTTAAACGGGAGGGTATCTCCCTCGCGATTGACGATAGAAAAAAGAAAACGACAAAGGAAAAATCGTAGAGGACGTAATAAGATTCTAGCTTTTTATCACGTTCCTCTCTGTCGCGGATACGACATGGCGCATCTACAATAAGTAATTGTAGATTTTTTTAATGGAAATTGGAAAAACGCTCCTCAACTTTTTTCCTATTAGTTCTTATATTGTCAGAGTCGAAAGAGAGATATTTTCCTAGTTTAAATCGTTAGATTCATTCTGTAATATATGTATATGTACACATATATATAGATATAGATACATATACATATATACATATATAATACAAAGTAAATTATATAAATATATAAATAAATTTAATGTTAAAATTTAAGCGTTTCGTGAAACATTGAGGAGCCGTCATCATCGTCGCAAAGTGAACGAGAGCAGGCTAACGATGATGCGATCTGTACCAAGTATGTAAGTTCATGTACTTGTTTGTAAGGTAATTAAACATTACAAAATGTTTCCGTTTGATCGTTTGCTATGGGAACGTGCATCGATGCTGTAACTAGTATTTATTATAAATATATTATGATTACTCTCTCGAATTTCGCTAGGCTCACTGTAAGTGGTAACGTGTAATAAATCGGTCAATAAAAAGCTTATGTGCTTAATAAATCCTCTTCACAGTAGTATTTACATATTGCCTGTATAATTATGTTGGGAAAAAAATCTTACAATTATAGACTTTGTTTCAATATTATTCCAATTACATGTAATTAATTTTGATCAAACGTTTCAGCATTTGACGAATCTTTTAGATTTATATAGCAATTAATTGTAATAATTAAATTTTATATTCAATAGTGTACATAGAAACCTGAGACTAAAATCTACGAAATATTTCTTAAATCATCTCTTACTGTCTTTATTTTTACCAAAATTACAGCTTATTAAATTTTGTCTATTTAAAAATTCAAATAGAATGACTCGTATTTAGCATCTATGTTAACAATAATCATTAATAGTATACCAGATGTATGCATAAGTTTTTTCCGGTTTTTTGGTACAAAAAAACACGTAATTTTCAAGGGAAATTAATTTTTATTTTATTCAAAATATTGGCCATTGGCTTCTACACATTTCGCCCATCTTTCAGGTAACTTATGAATACCATGCCAGAAAAACTGCTTGTCTTTTGCGGCAAACCATTCGTCGAGCCATTTTCCAACTTCCTCGAAATTGCTGAAGTGCTGCTCTGCGAGCGCGTGCCCCATTGATGCGAAGAGGTGATAGTCAGATGGCGCCAGGTCTGGCAAATACGGCGGGTGCGGAAGGATGTCCCATCCAAGCGATTTCAAGGTTTCTTTCATTGGTTTTGCTGTGTGAGACGGCGCATTGTCGTGTAACAAAATCACTTTGCCATGTCTTCTGGCCCATTCCGGTCGTCTTTCGATTAATGCGTGGTTTAAATTAATCATTTGTTGGCGATAGCGTTGTGTATTAACGGTTTCGCCGGGCTTCAAGAGTTCATAATACACAATACCGCTCTGGTCCCACCAGACACAGAGCATGGTCTTCTTGCCGAAGCGATTTGGCCTTGGTGTTGAAGGACCGGCTTCGCAGGTTGAAAACCCGCTTCGGGTTTTCAAAATAAATCCATTTTTCGTCACCCGTCACAATTCGATGCAAAAATGATTTCTTTTCGTGGCGTTGAAGCAGCACTTCACAAGTGACTTTGTGATTTTCCATTTGACGTTCATTCTAATCGTGTGGGACTCATTTACCGAGTTTATTGATCTTCCCCATTGCTCGTAAACGTCTGCTGATTGTTTCTTGTGACACATGTAATGCTTCTGCTAATTGCCGTTGAGTTAGAGTTGGGTCATCATCCAATAACTCCTGCAATTGCTCGTTTTCACATTTTTGTGGTCTACCAGAGCGCTCACTGTCTTTCACATTAAAATCACCACTTTTAAATTGTCGAAACCATGTCTCACATGTTCTAATTGATGGAGCGTGTTCACCATATGTTTCTACCAGCAAACGTTGACTTTCAGCAGCCTTTTTCTTTTGATTAAATAAGAAAAGCAATGCGTGCCGCAAATGTTCTTTTTCAGGCACAAAACTCGACATGATCACTGAACGATAAAACAAAGACGCTAGTTTTTGGCGGACTCAACTTGTGTGTGTTTGTAGTTTAATGTCAGACGAACAAAATGACGTATGTGTGAAATTAATACGCTGCGTACTTTTCGCTGGCGCCATCTCTTAGTTAAACCGGAAAACACTTATGCATACACCTGGTAAACAGGTATACGAATATAAATAGTTACACACACACACACACACACACACACACATATGTGTGTGTGTGTGTAACTATTTATATTCGTATACCTGTTTATACTATTAATGATTATTGTTAACATAGATGCTAAATACGAGTCATTCTATTTGAATTTATATATATATATATAATAGTATAATTATAATATTAAATATTAAGGAAATCATTGTGTTTAACATGTTGCTGTAAGCACAACCATAAAACCATTCATAAATATTAATTGATATTTATATGTAAATTCACATATCAATTTATATATAATGTGTATGTACAATGCAACAGTCCTCTCATTATATATATATTAATATCATCGTAACAAAAATGAAATATAAATTAAATGATAGATAAATAGAAACCAATGGCAATAGCTGCTTTAAAAATATTCGCGTTTGGTCTACCGATGTACAGTCTCTAGAATGTGTGATAAGATGGCAGATTTTTCTACTAGCAATAATCAGTTTTCACAAAGCAGTCTTTTTATATCGAAATAGCGGTAGCTCTGACAGCAGCGCTTAACACAGGATTCGGGTCTGGTTCCTCCGTTAGCATATTCACTTTGGCCCACTCACGCTGCCTATTACTCTGACGTAGTGCATCGATAACTGCTTGCACATAGAGACCATCGTCGAACGTAGATGCGGAGAATACTGGCTCTTTGATCCAACCTTTCTTGTCTTCTACAGATTGGAAGGCCTCTCTCAGTGCTGCTATCATTTTTCTCAGTCCTTTGATGTATGGCCTAGGGATGGAGTCTGCGATCGGTATGGTTATTTCTTGTAGATCGTCCATGTCGCGATATAAAATTTCTTCTTGTCCCGCGCGACAGCCGTATAAATCGCCGCCACGTACAACCATATGATTTCCACCACCACATATCAACACTTCTTGAGAAAGCTGTCCTTGTAAATGATTGCTCAGAGTAGCTGTTACTAAGGTACCACCGCTTAACTCCATCTGAAAGCTACAGAAATCCGGCGACGTGACGTGCCTGATACCATTGATATATTTGGTTGTTTGAGTGAACGTTTTCACAACAGCGTGTACTCTGGTTGCTCGTTGACCTGTTAAATGAGAGATGAGATCTATAACATGACTGCCTACTAATGCAAGAATCCCTCCACCCATTGTGTCGTCACACAGCCAATCATATCCTGAAAGGGATGAAACAATGAACAAATATTTTATATTACAAGCAAACATTTAATTCCTATTTTATCTTAAAAAGATAGACTGCAATTTATCTATATAAAACTTCAATATACGTTCTTTTAATTGTGGAATTTTTGCAATACTTCTATGTGATTAAACATTCCATTTCATTTGTCTATGCTTACCATTGTGTAACAAACTTCCCATGTGTACTCTCACTTCTATAACTGTAACCGGTCCACCTAGATATCCATCTTCCAGAGCCTTCTTCATGTACACGAAGGTTGGCAAGAATCTCAAACTGTGATTAACTATGCTGATTAACGAGGGATAATATTGTGCAGCTCGTACCATCTTCAAAGCCTCGCTTTGACTTAAGCCTGCAGGTTTGTCGCATACAACATGCTTTCCGATACCTAAGGCCTTCACGGCGATCTGCGAGTGCAAACTTGGCGAGCACATTATAAAGATGAGATCCACGTCCTTCCTGAGGAGGACGTCGTCTATTCCACTGGTATGAAAAGGTATCGCCAGATCTTTCGCCACCTCTGAGACCTCGGCTAAAGTACGACCCCATATAGCCTCGATTCTGAAGCCCTTTTCTCGCAAAAATGGTATTATAATCCTTACGATACTTCCCGTTCCGAATACTCCAATACCGGGCAACGTCATTTTAACTATGTAAGGACGTTTGATGTTTGTCTCTCAGAGTTGCCTCACCAAACTTAACCTAGTTTCTTTGAAAACTCCTTGGGTCAATATTTCTTGCGAGCGATTTATCTTCACCTTGACTTGCGTTCACTCGTACTTTTCTGTTTCGAAAGTGCAACTCAACGGCATACATTAGTATGTATTTAGCGTTAGAAGATTTGTTTATGACAGCAGTAGCAGTAACCAACGGCGATTTATATATACGCGTGGTAAAACACACAGGTAAACATAAGGCCTGTTCGTTTTGTCTGCACTGCTGAACTGGTGCGTTAAGTTAAAGTGAGACAAACGTAGGTTTTCTCACTTCAACTTGTTGCACAGTTCAGCAATGCAGACAAAACGAACAGGCCTATATTCAAGGCCGACACGCATAGAGTATGAGTTTTAAGTTCATGTTTAGAATGCAGGAGTACTTATCTTGAATTTCGATTAGCTAATATGCTCATTGGACACTTTTTAGTACATAAAGTGGAATCTAAATGTTATAAAATTTATTCGACGATGTAACAATAGTAATTAATTGTAAAATATAACGTGCTTTTGAAATTGACAAATCTTTCTTATCGACCACACCTAATAGTTTATCGACAGAATTGAAATGAACCAATCAGATGCTCGAGTCTCTAATCACCTGTTAGTTGTCATTCAGCCGAGCACAGCTGAGCTGTAATGTGTCAAAACAAGAATGATTTGATAAGTGAATGTATTGTTTCTCTGTCTTTTAATATTATATATTCAACATCGAAAAAACATGCAAGATTTATACTATTTTAACATCACTGCATCAGCGACTATTGTATTATTTGCCGCATTCATTCTAGTTGTGTTTCAAAGGTAAATAATATGCACTTATCAATAAGTATATCAACAAGTATATCTCTATATCTTAATTACTATAGTTATAATATCTTTACAGTATCGCTTGGACATTCCTTGTAGTTATTATTTATGGCATCACCAGTTTTTACACTGTACAATTTTTACAAATCATTGACAGTTTGTTGACAAGATTTAATATCACAAGTGACACATTTATTACAAAAGCTAAACAGGATCTATGTACTGTTTGTAGTAATGTCTGCAAAAGACATAAGTTATTGCCACATTCAACAAAAGTCAAAGTACCAAAGGATTTTGATCATGCTTTAGAGCAGGTAATTATAATTTTTATTGTATACACATAGTTTGTACTATTTTATGCTAATAATATATATAAACATATTATCATGTTGCAGCTTTTGGAGGAGATACTGCAGATTTATGTCTGTACATGGTATTCAGATTTTTCAACAAATGAAGCTTTTATACAACAACTGCGTTTGGCTATAACAACAGCAGCAAAAAACATTGCTGACAGATTACTACGTGCAGATACAGCAACCATCATTTTCCATGATCTGATTCCTTTAGCCATACAACATGCCCGCGATTGGAATATGCTCAACAAAAAGTCAAAATCTGAAGTTAGGATGCCTCAGGATTATATTGGAAGTTATTTAGGTTCTAAGATTCATCCAGCTGCTTATTCGAGGAAAGCTGAGCTGAATTATTTGCGAGGATTAGTTACTGCACTCTTGCCACATTTATTACCTGCTATACATATTTCAACAAATAACAAAGTAATAACTATGTTAGATAGTAATATACTATGTTAGAATTTACTACACCTTTGTGTGTATGAATCATTTCAGATATTCAATTGATCATTGCATATTTTGTACATATTTTTTATGTGCATTTTTAGATAATACTACGTGAAATCTTGTCAAATTGGGTGCTGTTACCAGCGATTGATGCACTTGCAGATCCAGAAAATATAAATATGTTGGTGACATTATCCACTCACCGTGATACTTCTTTGTCAGATGCTGCTGAAACTATTAATGTACCGATGCTGCAATCTTGGGTTACAATTCCAGTAATGCATCCACACATTACACAGAGTTGCTTCAAACAATCTCTAGATGAAATCTTGAACAATCCTGAACTGTTGTACATGTTCATGCAACATATTAAAGAAACAGGACCTATGAATCTTCTTCAATTTTGTTTAGATATTGGTACATATATATACATATATATATATATATAATATATATATAATATATAATATATATATATATATATATATATATATATATAACATCTGTCGTATTATAATTTTTCGAGTAACAATTAATGCATAAATGATATTGATATTTTCCAGATGATCTCAGCAAACGTATGTTAAATCCAGAAATGTCGACTAATGCTGAGGAAAATTTATATATAGACGTTCAAACCATGTATGCAGTATATCTTGATCCTGATGGTCCTGAATACCTGTATTTACCATTGCATATATCAAAAGGCATACAACAGAGTAAGCAAATCAGAAGTAGATCGAAATTTAGCTCGAAATAGTTGCAAATTTAATCATGCAGATATGCATGTGTGTTTCTCCTTTTTTCAGTATTAGAAGGCGGACCGGAGAAAATTCAAGAATTACGGACTTCGCGACCTTTTTACCAAGCTCATCAAGAAGCACATGCGCTTTTAGAGAGTACCTGTTTACCATCATTCCATCATAGCTATCAAGTAAGAATATTTAACGATTTATTCTTTTTACTACAATAATATTCAATATTAGAATCATCAGTTATTAAGTGTAAAAAGAGGAATTTCATATATTCTAATGAAATTTTAACGTAATTGCAGTTATACAAATACTTGTGTGGCCATTTGGTGTCTGAACAGGCAAAAACCACTGCAATCAAGTAAGTATATTTTCAAGTAGATGTATATTTTCTCACAGTTATATGCACATGTGTAAACTTGTAAGAAAGTTTGTATAATCATAATAATCACATATATTCACTTTCTCCAGCGCGAGCGGAAGTATATGCACTCCCATACGATTCAGCAATCAACTCGGCAAGATCGATGGCGTTGTACGCACGTCGACGATGGACGGCGGCCCGTTTCAGTTGCAGGATGCCTATCCGGTCGAAGAAGTGGATTGCACGGCCCGAGCATACAATGAAATTAAAGGTTTCGGTGACAAAAGCCATCGCGATTTAACGGCGTGGCGAGTCGCTATTCCACATGTGGATGGTAGTGGCGCGCAACCGGTGTACACGATTGCAGTTCATAGCGTAGCAGAAGCCAAGTCATGGGTGGTTCGGCGGCAGGATCAAGACTTCTACACGCTGCGAACGCGACTTACTGAGTTCCACGGCGACAAAGAGTTGAATGATTCGCCGTTGCCGTCGCGCAAAAATCCCCACTTGTCTCTCACTACTAATCGACAACGTTACGAGGAATTTCTGCAGAAGTTGCTATCCAAACCGATGTTGCGGAGCAGCGAACTCTTGTACACCTTCCTCACAACGCCAAACTTGAAGCCTTATTACGCTAATTACAGCACACCTGACATCGGCATTCTCTATCAGAGCATGGCTTATAAATTGCGCAAGGAAAAAGGACAGCACCTCGACAAGTTCATGAGCACCTTCCTGGCGTCCACAAATACCAAGTATGAGCACATGGACATGGGCGTCGAGCCATCGAGTGAACACAATCTCAGCGAGGCGGAGAACAGAGATAGGAGGCTGTTGGACGGGGTGTTTGGCAATAATCTGAATTTACCGGTGGCTTTCCAGAATTTCCCTTGCAGCCTACCGCAGCGTGATCACATGAAAGGTGCCAGCCTGTGCATCGTGGAAGCCGGTAAGCTCAAAAAGATACACATAGATTTACAGGTCTGTATTTACGACTACGTGTGTTGTTATTACAGTTGACGGTCTACTAAATGTACCTCCTGTGATATTGCAACTCTTTTGGATATTTGGCTCGCTGTCGTGCAAAAGGTTGGACCCTGTGGTGAACACGATGTTCTACAATGTGCTGGTGAAACTTCTGAGTGGCGGCCGCGCTGCCATTGTCGTCAAGCTCTTGCACGCGAAGGTAGTCGGTGATAAGAGCTACATAAAAGACTTCTCCTCGCAAGAGAAGGATTATTATGACACCGCCAAGGAAGGACTACATTCCTTGTTACCGTGGTGGCTAATTGGGGTATCGAAGCCTTGGAGTAAGCTGATGGATTCTCTCCTGGATCCTTTGCAGAACGCGCCGTTCAACAAGCATCTGGCATATTTTCTGTTGGATCACCTCTTGGTGAATTTATTCCCCGAACTGACAGCGTAGTATATTAGATTATAAAAAAATCAATGTGTATAATGCAATTTACTTAGTTTTAAATAAAAGTTCCTATTGAGTTCTATTATACATAAAGTGATGCGTTTATTACAATGAGCAATTTTCATATTAACCGCGAGGTGCTTAGGATAATCGCTAATCGATTCGTGATCGAATCGATAGGGTCACTCGCTTCTTTATAGATGGCGGCGTAGTTTCTTCATTACCGACTGGGTTCAGGCTGGATCAACCGACAACGGTTCTTACTTTAAAATCTGCGCTTACAATCTGCGAAGGTACTTTCGCCGTCTCCGTGCCCACTTATACATTGTCTTCTGCATTGTCTTCGATATGAATTCAACAGCTAAGTAACAAACACGAATGTCTGGCTATCAATAATATCAGATACATCTTCGTCTCAGGGTTGTAAAACAATTCGGTAAACATAACCCATGCTGATTGTCGTGTGAGCGATGGCCGAGTCCAAGAGACTAATCGTCCACGAAATTCATCAGCGTGAATCAGGATGCAGGACTAGGCCCCGACGAGAGTAGGGGTGGATCGAGGATCGATGGAGTAGGATCGAGGACCACTAACAGACACAGGCGGATGAGTGAAAAGAGCAGAGCGACGAGAGGGAGGAGACTCAGCAGCGGCAGACTGGTGAAGCGAGTCCGGGAATGGGAAGAGTACGAGCGTGGGACACGACGACGTGTTCTGGGGAAGGAACAAGGACGAGCGACGTTGCACAGGAGCGTCGTAGCCGGGGGAGCGAGCCGTTCATATGGTTGCTTTGATGAAATCAGCAAGCTCCTCTCTGGTATCACACACGAGGTGTCAGGTGTGTGACTAATAATCTCCTAAAAAAATAACAAAGAGACACAGCGAAAAGTACGGATGCGGACAACGCGAAGCGCGTCTCGCTCCTGAAGCTGACTGTTAGTGGGGGGGCATGCGGTAGAAAAGGAAGGGCCAGTAGAACGGAGCGCGCTGGATCGGGGTCCGAGAGGCACACACGTTCGACGCGGCCTTGCCCAAACCTCCTCGCGATAGTTCTCCGCTCAATCTCGGCTGTGCGTTGTCCATGCGACGTGGGTTCGGAGAGTAGTTGTCGAGAGAAGCATTATCGTTGCGATCGCGTCCGCGCCAGCGGAAAACCAGCGAGAAACACGCTTGTCTCCTTCGCCGTCGCCGCCGCCGCCGCCGCCGCCGCGATCTCTCGTGCCGTTCGTGTAGTCATTGTTCTTCTTCTCTCAGGAGAGCGACAAGCGACTACTCACTCATCGGGGACGACTCGTCAACAACGTTGGAGGAAGCAAGAGAACAATAGCAGCAGCAGCAGGGAGGAGGAATATCCGTGCATACGTGCGCATCGGCGTGGAACTTGGCGGGGCCGGATTCCGTGTGCCCTGTGCGTGCGTCGTGCGTCGTGCGTACGTACGTACGCGCGTCGTACGTGCGTGCGTGCATGCGTGCGTGCGTGCGTGCGTGCGCGCGAGCGCGCGAGGACCTGTTGATAGGTCGCGCGCAGGTGTACGAAGGAGGCCCTAGCCCCTTCCTCCCTTCCTGCATCCATCAGCCGTCAACGACTGCTGCTGCTACTATCGTTGCGACGACGACGACGACGACGACGACTGCGAGAGAACGCACACCTGGTACACAGACAGAACTCTATGACCGTCTCCTGATCGACGTTCGGTAGATCGTTGTGTCTCTCCGATCGATCTCATTGGGACCAGATGCCGCGGCTTGCGAGGCCGTATATGGTATCGTGAGGAAAAGAACGTATCCTACGAGGGAGAGCAGTCCAACAGTAGTCGTCGCAGGACGAGAAGCATCGCCGTCGCAACCGACGTCTTCGTCGCCTACCTCGTTTCCCTCCTCGAGTGCCCCTGTCTCGTACCTCTTTCTTCCTCCCTTCTCCCCCTTATTCCCCCGTATTCCACCTCCTCGACCGCGCGCGCGGTCGGGTAGACCGGCCGTCGCTGGACACCGGAGAGTGCCCTCCTGGTTTTTGCGTTGTGGACCGTGCGCGCGCGCGCGCGCGTGCGAGAGTGGTGCCAGTGTGAGGTTACGCGTGGTACAGTCGTGGGGCACCGTTGAGATGCCGTGGCTGTTCGAACTACGGACTCGTGATTAGTTAGGTGAGCAAGGATTCTTGTCTTTTCTTTCTCTCTGTCTATCAGTCCGCAGTCTGTCCCTCTCCCTCTCTGTTTATGCACGCTTCTCCCCGTCCTCAACTCCGCGTATCTCTCTCTCTCTCCCCTCTCTCTCTCTCTCTCTCTCTCTCCCCCTCTCTCCCTCCCTCCCTCCCTCCCTCCCTCCCTCCCTCCCTCTCTCTCTCCCTCCCTCTCTCCCTCTCTCTCCCTCTCCCTCCCTCCCCTTCTCGCTCTCTCCTCTGCTCTCCAGCTTCTTTTTTTTGCACTTCCCCGCGTCTGTCCGTCTCTTTCTTTCTTTCCGTTCCGCGAGGCGCGCGCGAGTGCGTCGCGCGACCGCAAGATTCCTTCTTCTATTTCCTTTCTTTCCAATTGGCGTCCCACCGCTCTACTCTCCGACCCACTTCTTCCTCAACCTCAACCGCTGTCCGCGCTCATTGTCGCCGTCGCCGCCGCTGCCGTTTGCCGTCGCCTGGCCCGATTATTTTAGACGATGACGTGCCTACACTGTATGTGACTCTCTCGCGCGCGCTTCGGAGCACACCGCGCACGCAGCTCCGCGCCGACCTTATCCTTGTATATTCCAGCGCGCCGCATTCCAGCGGCGCGCTTGGTCAGCGGCATGCGTGCCTGCGATAGCAAGCGAGCGAACGAGCGAGCGAGTGAACGCGCGAATGCAAATCCGTCCATCAGCCCGCCCGCGTCGCGGACGTTGTTTCCAGGTATAAGAGGAACGCGGCGAGCGGCTGGCTTGTTTACGCATCGTCGACCGCGACGTCGTCAACAACGTGTTCGCCGTCGCCATCGTCGGTGACTCGCGGTCGCGGGTAAATTCCTCACTCGCTCGGGAGGAGAGCAGCACGTTGCCCATTAACGATCCGTCCGCGGCTCGCCGCTTGCTCGGTGGTCGCGGCCGAGCGCGCGGGTGGTCCTACCAAAACGCTCATAAGCTCGAGATATGTTTTCCCCGTGGAGAACTTGCCGGAGAACGGCATACCTGTGCCTCGCCTGGAGAGATCCCCCGGGGGTCGCCGCCGCCGTCGCTATCTATCGCCAACGAGGGTCGGCGGCGACGATGAGGTGGGCAGCGAAGGTACGCTAAAGGCACCTTTTGCAAACGCGCCCGCGCCCACACGGTAATGCACCGCGAGGAATGCATGCGTGACGAGCCTTTTTCCGCGCGAATGCGTCCCCATCGGTAAATTCATTGTCCTTGAAAAAACAAGTTGGTCGCGCGTGCGCGCGCGCGCTACGAGAGAGGCGTTGGAGAAGAAAGGATCTGGATATTATTACTTAACGCGCAATGAGAGTCTCGCTCTCTCGGACTCTCACGCGCGCCTTCTCGCTGCTGTGCCGCCGTCGCCGTCGTCGTCGTCGTCGTCGTCGTCGTCGTCGTCGTCGTCACCGCCGCCGCCGTCGTCGTCGCCGTCGCCGCCGCCGCCGCCGCCGCCGCGCGCGCGGCCCCCAGAGAGCCAAGGCGCGCGCGAGAGGCGGCGGTGGCGGTAGCAGCAGACAGCTTGGCTCTGCCTTGGTCCCACCAACCTTTCTGCCCCGTCTCTCTGCTCCTTCGTACTGCCAGGGCCGCACGAGAGGTCTGCGAGCCCTCGCGCGAGCCGCCAGCGCGCGGATGAGCCGGATAGCGCGTTGCACAAACCGCCATATTGTACCCCGCTGTCATCCCTCCGCGCGGAAACACGCGGGAGGGAGGACTGTTAATGAAATCTTTGTAACGCCGCCCGGTCGCGTTGACCGAAGAGCCTCTGACTAACACAACGTGTGATGATGCTTTTCAGCGGATGAATGGCGGCACAGTGTTTGCGAAGAGGGAGAGAACGAAGATGTAGGCCAAAGTCGTCCTAATTGCCTCCCCGCCTTCTTCTTGTTCTTGCTTTGTGACCTATCGCATTAGTGGCAATAAGGTAATCATTGCACACAGATAGCTTTCCTTCCGTACGTTACACACTCGTGAGAGACGTTCCGAGATCATCCTAGATGTGTCCTGGAGCATCCTCCAGGTTCTCCGACGCGTTTCAGGGATGATATCGCGAGATCTTGTTCTATTCGGCCGCGGTCTCGTTTGTGCTTGAAAATCGAATCGCGCGCATTTAAGGAGCGGCTAGACGAGAAAGATGACTAATGGAAGTCGTAAGATTTTCAGGACGAACGGCGTTTCGAGCATTCTCTTGCGGTGGAAAATATCTCTTTCTCATCTGCTCTGAGAGAATTCGCTCGGGAAACACGACTGAGAGGCTCGCGGGGAAGATAATTTTATGCACACGCGAAGTTCCACGCGCGTCGTTCGCCGAGAGCGGAAGAAAGCGCCGGTAGATAGAGCACGCGCCCGACGTTTCTCGGAAGAGAATTATTAGAATTAATTAACTTGCGTATGCAGCATCTCTCAGCATTAATGAGAATACCGAGAACTCGTGCCGCCGCGCGGCGTCGTTATGCGCCGGTTTTATCGAGCCGGCAGAAGGAAAAGATCGTGTTCACACGGTCATAAACGAGCGACTATTTTGTCAATGTGTTGTTGTATCCCCGCGCGATGCATTATCATTAATTACGCATTATGATTTATTTAAATGAATTGGCACGTCGTATTCTCCGCTCGATCGGCAGAGTGTTATAGCTTCTCTCGCTGCTTTTTTATTCGCAGATCAATCCGATCAGTCTCAATTGTGGATTCTCCGCGGACCGTGACAGAGCTCGAAAGCGAATAAATTCGCGAATTCGCGGGAGAGAGAAAAATCTCGCGCCGAGGTAACGTTCTCCATAGTCTTTGATTTTGCGTCAGAATAATTTCGCTTGCGTCGATTATCGATTAGCGATTCTCCGCGCAGTAACTAATCTCGTGTGATATTCAAGCAGGTCTTCCTTGTACGTCGCAGAGGCTTTCTTCCGCTTCGGGTCCGACGGTCGCGTCGGGGCCCGCATCGACGTTCGTTTTAGCGTAACGCTAAAACAGGAAGGCATTCACCGGGCTTAGCATTTTACACTGAATGAAACCGAGAGTGGAACACATATCCGCTTAATGTCCACCGATAACGGCCGCGAGCGAACGAGCGAGCGAGTCACGGCGGCATAAATATTCTGCCTTTGAGAAATACGCGCTGAAAATCGCGGATAAAACCAGTTTCGTCCGCCGCGGACGGAACTCTACCGTTAATGCAACGCAGCAAGTGTGTCATGAGACAACATTGTTCGATCAATTCCGAAAATTACACGTCGCGCAGTCGTTACGGGCTGACGGTTACGCTCCAAATAGCAACTCGCGGCTCGCGTTACGTCGAGGCGTTTCGCACCTCGTGTCCTTTTTTTAGAAGGTAACTTTGTTGTCAACAGATCGCGTAAGCGTTCCTGTGATATTTACGTGTTGAGCGTGTGACAAACGGCAGTTCAAGTAACAAAGGATAGACCTAGCCGACGGTTATCTGGCGATGCACACAGGTGTAACAGTCGCGACCGTTACGAGCGAGCGAGCGAGTGTTCCTCGTTCTCGATCTTTCGTTAATTCGAGCTGTCCAATCCGTTCTTCTTCCGAGAGACCCCGGAGATATTCGTCGAATCACCCTGTATAAGATCGTAAAAAGAGACGCCCGATGGCCGAAGAGTAAGAGAAAGCGATTACTTTGGGACAGAAGGCTGATTCGACGAATTCCTCCGCATCCATTGGCGGACCCAGGAACCGAGGACCCGTGGAATTGGGTCCTGGGAGAGCCTGATCATCCTCGCCTCGTGCTGACTCAGAGAAATTATGCGGTATCTCGCCGCGGTAAAATTTCCGAGAGATTTCGCGAAATTTGCCGCATCTCGCGTTTGCTCAAAAGTCGCAGAAGCGCAAAAGTCGCGAGGACGTTCAAGATTGTTCAGCATGATTAGTGTTGTTATGCCCGCGTTTTTGTGTGAAATCTACCGGTTATGTTGTACAGCGTTTGAATTGTGCCGTATATTTGCTTTGAAGCAGCTAAAGAGTTCCGGAGAAAAAGAAAAGTAAGTCGACCGAGTCGATCTGAAAATATGAACCGAAATTATCTATTTTCTACCTGGGCGCACAGCTGTATCTCACGGCTTCGCGCTGCTTATCTCGAGTACCGTGCATCCTTAAGGACTGACTAATGTACCTTTAGAAAAGGTTGCTCAATCTGTTCCCTCCAATTCTTCGGGCCAGACCGCATTTCTTTAATGAACTCCTCAGTCTCTGCTCTCTCAGTCAGCCATCGTCCACCGTAGGTAAAAGGTGCCTTCTTAAGTACCACTCGTGTGACTAGGGAGCCGCTCAAAACAAAAAAGTGAGGAATAAAGAATTCTCGGGTCGTTTGCTGTTGAGAAACTGTGTGCTCATTTATAATAAATCATCGCGCGTGTCATCATCGTGTGTCGCGAATTCACAGAAGAAGAATAATTCGTTTGAATTAATGAATTCTTTTCGAATTTTACGACAGACATTAATTGTCTTCAGCGTCCCTTGGTATGAAAAAGACAAAGTTTCGTCCGTCAATTTGGACTTGCAAAGTCCTTCTCAAACAAGAAAATATTTACACAACCATATTTTGCTGAGGATAATGCATGAAGATGCAGACGCGAGAATAAGACAGTCGCGCGCGCGTGAGCTCGCGTCTGAATCTCCACCAGAAATGTTACAATTCACGGATTATCTAGAGCTTAATCGACATTGTAAAGTCAAACTTGATCGTTTCGCCGGATTCTTTGACACTTCTCTCGTGTGTGCTTCCAGGGAGGTAACGTCAGCGAGTGACGACGTCACGATGCGCATGTCGCCGCTGCTGAGTCTAGTGCTCGTGGCAGCAATCGCGCTGCTAGCAAATGCTAACGCAGAGACTAGCCTACGCATCAACTCGAACACGACTGCATCGTCGCCATCGTCGTTGTCGTCGAATCACATGAAGAAGCGCGAGCAGGTGATCGCCGGGATAGAGGCCAGCCTGCTCACCTTCCTAGGTCTCCGCAAGAGACCCAAGCCCCAGGGATTGACTCACGTTCCGGAGTCACTGAGGAAACTGCACAACATTCAGAACAGCATCGGCACAGCGGACATCGCAAAGCCGGGCATTCACGCGCGATCGGCCAACGTCGTTCGTTCGTTCTACCATGTCGGTAAGTGGGCTTGTAATTCTGCCGGCGTTTCACGTGTCTCGCTCTCGGTAGGGAACGCGCGAAGGAGCGAGATACCCACGTACGCAATTACTTCGGGAACAAACCCGAGAGAGCAAACCCGAGAGGGAACAAACCTTAGCTGCTCGCTATTTGGCCGAAGACGGCCGATGAACGTTGTACACGTGCGTTTCTCACACCGCATTCTTGTCCGTCTCATCATCACAAAACGCTGCCCGTTCGCCGCGTCCCTTGGCTCTCTTCATCCCCACGATCTGCGTTTATCAACCTGTGAATCGTCAAAAGAGCGTTGAAATACCGATTAATTTCGTCGACAGCGTTGCATCTCGACCGATATCGTAAGCGGATTTTATTGGGTGCGAAAAGGCAAAATTATACGACGAGATTACAAGCTCGGGTTGTTCTAACTAACATTCTCGGTATCCTTCTCCGCAGGTTCTCAACGTTGATATATTAAAAAATGACGATACGTCGTACGCGAAGAATTGTCACCGTCGTCGGTATGCGTAAATATACGCAAGAGGCATCATTATCATCGCCGTCGTACATTCGCAATTTGTGAATCACTGAGCGGCGGTGTCAACTAGCACGGGAAGTTGCGAATCGTAATTCGAAAACAGGTTGGCGACTCTTTCGACTCTCAGTGAAAGTACAGTAGTAGCAATGTGCCCGTTATCAATCGTCATTCGTTCTACGCCGGCAAACGCAAGTGACAAATTCTCGTACGATCGCGCTGGAGCAACTCGACTCAATAATTCCGTGTTTTGACTACGAACTCAATATCCGCAATATTTAACGCAAATGCGGATTTTTGGTCTATCGCAAGGTATCCGTAATGAGGATAATTGTGCATATATATGCGTACAATAAGTATCCTATGTATGTATGTGTGTGTGTATGTGATAAGTATCATGTGTGTACGATACATAGAAGAGTCCTTTTTTTATTCGTGAGTCTTGTAAGAATTTCCGGACCACGCGATAATTTGAGGAAGACATTGGCCCGCGAATTGCAAGTTTACGTTAAGTATAGTGTGATTAGCATAACAGGCGTGATTTTATTGAGAGTACAAATTAGTTCGGTCCGTTTTTTGTGTTAAAAGATGTATTTATTTCAAAACAAAATGAATTAACAGATCAATTCAAGTATTTTCCATCGTTGGCTACTACTTTCTCCCATTTCTCAGGCAATTTTCGAATTCCATCTCGAAAAAATAACTCGTCTTTTGAGGTGATCCAAGTTTGGAGCCAATTTTCGATATCTGCGAAAGAAGTGAACCGGTGACTTGCCAAATCGTGCTGCATCCTTCGGAACAACCAGTAATCAGAAGGAGCAATGTCCGGAGAATACGGCGGGTGCGGTAAAACATCCCATTTGAGCGTTTCCAAATATTTTTTTACGACTTTTGCGACATGAGACCGAGCGTTGTCATGAAGAAGAATAACTTTATCATGTCTTTGCTCGTATTCCGGCCGTTTTTCCGGCTCGTATCCAGGCCTCAACGGCTTGTTGAGTCACTCCCAATAATTCTGCAAGCTCCTCTTGCGTTTGACTCTGATCTTCTTCGAGTAATGCCTCTAATTCTTTGTCCTCGAATTTTTTTGGCTGTCCAGAGCGAGGCTTGTCTTCGACGCTGAAATCTCCATCCTTGAAACGTCGAAACCATTCCCTACATGATTTATCAGTTGGAGCAGCGTCACCATAAACTTCAACAAGCATTCGATGAGCTTCAGCTGCACTTTTCTTCCAATTAAAGCAGAAAATTAAAACCTCCCGCAAACGCTGCTTGGTTAACACAAAATTCGACATTTTCAACACTGTAAAAAGCAAGGTTTTTGTATGAAACTCAAAGCGATATAAACTGAATATTATTGGCAGATGTTAAACCTCTCTGAAACCGCCAAAATCGGCAGTCATTATGAACCATTCATAACAGCCGGAGCCATCTTTTGAAAACGGACCGAACTAATTTGTACACCCAATAGGTATTAAGGTTTATTCCAAGCCGTAGTTATATACAGGAGACGATTGTCCCTTTTCTGAAAAAGGACCTATGCTTGCACGGCATATACTAGGTGTGTGAATTAATTCGGTCCATCTGGCGGTCAATTGCTGTACTATGTAATTTTCTAATCTCTAATGTCTATAAAAGGCTTTATTTAGTTTTGATATCTGACAATAATATTCAGTTGATAAACGTTTGGGTTTGTAACAATAACATCGTGTTTATCTGATTCGAAAATGTCGAAATTCGAGCCAAAAAAGCATCATTTCCGGGAAGTTCTCATTTTCTGTTTTCATTTAAAGAAAACAGCCTCTGAAGCTCATCCAATGCTCGTAGAAGTTTATGGTGAAAGTGCTCCCACCGGTAAATTATGCAGAGAATGGTTTCGACGTTTCAAAAGTGATGATTTCGGTGTCGATGACAAACCTCGTCCAGGCCGAAGAAGTTCGAGGACGAGGAATTGCAGGCGCTAATCGATGAAGATCCGTGTCAATCACAACATGAGCTTGCGCAATTGTTGAATGTTGGATATATTTCGATAATCCCAAACGAAGGAAATCCATTAGCGATCCAGGAAAACCATCCACATCGATACCAAAGCGGAATATTCACGGCAAGAAAGTAATGCTCTGTATACGGTGGGACGTAGAAGGGTGTAGTGTATTATGAACTATTAAAACAGAGCTAAACCATCACTGCTGAACTTTACCAACAACAATTGATCCGTTTAAACAACGCATTGAAGAATAAGAGGCCGGAATATGCAAAGAGACACGACAAAGTGATCTTCCAGCACGATAACGCTCAGCCACATGTTGGAAAGATTGTGAAGGCCACCTTGGAAATAATTGGCTGAGATGCTTTACCTCACCCGCCTTATTCATCAGACATTGCTCCATCCGATTATCACTTGTTCAGGTCGATGGCACACGGGCTTTCGAACCAGCACTTCAACAATTATAAAGAAATAGAGAAATGGCTCAATGAATGGATCGCTTCGAAGGACGAGTCGTTTTTCCATCACGGAATGCAACAACTGCCAGACAGATGGGGAAAAATAATAGCAAGCGATGACAAATACTTTGATTAGTGTACTTTTTCATGTTTTTCCATACTAAAGTCTTTTTTTGGATGAAAAAACGGACCAAATTAATTCACACACCTAATAGCTAAAGTAGCGCGATTGCGAAAAAAATTTAGATTCGAATAGTCTGTAATGAGAGAGAAAGAGAGAGAGAGAGCGCATACGTTTCGCTGTTTCGTTTACTTGCTTTCGACGACAATGAACGTACTCTAATCTTCTCAATCCCCGTCATCGCGATAGTGTACCTTCCGAAAGATACGTATTCAATTTTTTTTCTTTCATTATTATCTGAGACACTAATTTGAGCACTTTGTTTCCAACACGATTATCTCGTTCTTTCACAAATTTAGAGCACGCAGAGAATACGCCGAGTTTGCCCACCGCGTGAAAAGGAAAAGAAAGGCATCCGAACGATTTCATGGTTGTCCAACCGACAAAGGGCCCTCCCTTGGCCGCGCTGATTACTGAGAGCGTGCCGCGCCGGATCCCGAGTGTCCTACGGGGGACCTTAGAACAAAAAGGAGTCAGCTCCTTACACGCTCTCCGTCTCTCTCGTAGGGGTATTATCGTTCGATGATGAGACCACCTTGGAATGTACCGAAGGGATTCTCAGAGAGCCGCCGTCAGGTATCTCTTATTCTCTCTCTCTCTCTCTCTCTCTGTCTCTCTCTCTGTCTCTCTCTCTGTCTCTCTCTCTCTCTCTCTCTCTGTCTCTCTCTCTCTCTCTCTCTCTCTCTCTCTCTCTCTCTCTCTCTCTCTCTCTCTCTCTCTCTCTCTCTCTCTCTCTCTCTCTCTCTCTCTCTCTCTCTCTCTCTCTCTCTCTCTCTCTCTCTCTCTCTTCCCCTCCCCTCTCTCTCTCCTCCGTTTTCGCGGGAGGTCCAGCTTCCGTCCCAATGATTCACATCCGGATTGTTAATATAGACGAGTCGGTACATTCCTACCGATTGTTCCCGAGGCCAAATTTCGCCAAAGTCTTCTTGGTCGGATCCGCGGATAGGATCGGTATTCGAAGTCGCTGATCCTCCCGGCCGAGAGCATCGAGCGGAAAAGTAGAAGCATACGCGGGGGATGACATAACGTAGGAGAAAGTAGTGAGAGCAATTAAGGAGGATGCGTAATGGAAAGTGACCGGGCATCGTGAGCTGAACCTGATGTCTGTCTCATCTCGTCTGGTCTCGTCTCGTCTCGTCTCATCTCATCTCATCTTGTCTCATTTCATTTTGCCTCGTCTGTCTTCGCAGAGGCATTGTCCCGATGAAAGCGCTCGTCCCGCTCGGGACGATAGCTGAACGCCCGCGACGACGCGTCGTCGCTTTAAATTGCCGCTTGTGAGAGAGAAAAGAAACCGGGAGCAGTGTCGGTTTTGCTTCAGCAATATTACACGATTCTAATGCTGGACGAGCTACGGACGAGGAAAAGAGGAGACGCGCGCCGTGTCTCTTTCATGTCTCGATCATGATGTTTTCATTGTCGCAAACGAATCGTCGACATCGTTCTCGCGTGCCCTTGACACGCGAATCTGAACTCGTCGAGATAATACCGGTTTCTCGAACCCCGGAACCTAAAACGACGCGTCCTTCCAGTACCAGAGGTGACGGCTGACGTAGCACGCGGGTTTGAGGCTTTTCGGAATAGCCGATTCTTGCACGTTCAGATTTTCCTTGTTCAACCAACTCTCTCCGTTCATCGGGACGAGATTTCGAGAAACGCTCCGTTTCCAACAGCGTCGTGACCAGTAGGATTAATTCAGGGTATCGTTCGGCATTCTTCGATTATAGTAATCGGCCTCCGAGTGCCAAGGTTAATGAGATATGTAGCGGAGATTCAACAGGAATTCCGACATGCCATGCTAATTGTGGAAACTTACGAATGAAACCCGATGGATGGTAGCTCGTAGGCACGGCGCGTCAGTGGCGAAGAATGTGTTGAGAGAACATGTCGGTGTTTTATTTTGTTTACAAACGGCACACATACCGAGCGAGCTGAGGTATCGACGCTGTCGACGGACATATCTAACACATATCAGATAAGATTTGAATGAAATTAATCAGACCTGAAGAATCTTCCACACGATTCAACGTCCTTCTATGGGAACGCTTGGCGAATTGAAATTAAAATCGTCCGCCTCCTCCGCGCTCTCTCTTCGGCGGCTCTGCGTCGTCTCGTTTCCATAGAAATTGCTGGATTCTGCGAGACAAACGTGTGTGACACGCTTGATGACCGGTGTATGTGTGTGCGCGCGCTTAGGAGCGGCCCCGACGTCTTAGAGAATTAACATATGTATATAACAACGTGCGTTTAATGAGCGCACAACGCCGCTGCACACAATCCGCTGTTTTCGAATCGGCAGCGCAACTGCGTCACACACACACATACACACACACGCACGCACGCACGCACGCACGCACGCACGCACGCACGCACGCACGCACGCACGCACGCACGCACGCACGCACGGCACGCACGCACGCACGCACGCACGCACGCACGCACCACGCACGCACGCACGCACGCACGCACGCACGCACGCACGCACGCACGCCCCCACGCACGCACGCACGCACGCACGCACGCACGCACGCACGCACGCACGCCACGCACGCACGCACGCACGCACGCACGCACGCACGCACGCACGCACGCACGCACGCACGCACGCACGCACGCACGCACGCACGCACGCACGCACGCACGCACGCACGCACCGCACGCACGCACGCACGCACGCCCACGCACGCACGCACGCACGCACGCACGCACGCACGCACGCACGCACGCACGCACGCACCACGCACGCACGCACGCACGCACGCACGCACGCACGCACGCACGCACGCACGCACGCACGCCACGCACGCACGCACGCACGCACGCACGCACGCACGCACGCACGCACGCACGCACGCACGCACGCACGCACGCACGCCACGCACGCACGACGCAACGCACGCACCCGCACGCACGCACGCACGCACGCACGCACGCACGCACGCACGCACGCACGCACGCACGCACGCACGCACGCACGCACGCACGCCGCACGCACGCACCGCACGCACGCCCACGCACGCACGCACGCCCACGCACGCACGCACCCCCCCCCCCCCCCCCCCCCCCCCCCCCCCCCCCCCCCCCCCCCCCCCCCCCCCCCCCCCCCCCCCCCCCCCCCCCCCCCCCCCCCCGCACGCCACGCACGCACGCACGCACGCACGCCCCCCGCACGCACGCACGCACCGCACGCACGCACGCACGCACGCCACGCCCACGCACGCACCCCCGCACGCACGCACGCACGCACGCACGCACGCACGCACGCACGCACGCACGCCACGCACGCACGCACGCACGCACGCACCCCCCCCCCCGCCCCCCCCCCCCCCCCCCCCCCCCCCCCCCCCCACGCACGCACGCCACGCACGCACGCCACGCACCCGCACGCACCCGCCCACCCGCACGCCCCACGCACGCACGCACGCACGCACGCACGCACGCACGCACGCACGCACGCACACAGACACACCCAACACGCTTGTAGCGCTATTGGCTATTTTCGCAGAAGCGTAACTTAAATTACGCACATCGCAAAGCATCCGTATGGGTCACGCAAACGGAAGATTATATTCTGGCGGCGCTCCTTATTAATGTGAATGTCGTGAGATAACGCACAAACACGTCCGGATGATTTTCTTTCTCTCGAAAACTTTTAGCTCTACTCTCAGGTACCGATTCAGAGAACATTGCATAATGTGCTCAGTCAGGAAATAATTCGACAGCTTTACGAGAGGTGCTTGGGAAGATGGGTTTTGTTATATGAACGTTTGTTTTTGTATTCGCTTCGTCTCTGTTTCAAAACTAACATTGTGCATCTTTTGTGCCGACACTGAAAGACCATGAAAATCGATTTTCCGTCTCTTTAAATTCCATTTTCTAAAGAATGACGCACGCACCTGTTACCAATCCGTTAAATCACGGTCCTTTGCCGCAGGTAGAGAACACCCGGAGAGAGAGAGAGAGAGAGAGAGAGAGAGAGAGAGAGAGAGAGAGAGAGAGAGAGAGAAAGAGAGAAAGCCTCACAAAGTGGTGGCCGCGTATTGTCCGAAGCGAACCCTCTTTAGGAGCGCGTCTAATCGCTGATTGTCTCCTTCCAGAGAGCAAGCTGGACCAAAAGTTCCACTCGCCGAATCACTTTCGGCTCTCCTTCGACCTCAGCAAGGTGCCCAACGAGGAAACATTGCAGGCGTCCGAGCTGCTGTTGTCGCGCATCCCGATGACTGATATCGAGGAGAAGCAGAAGCGTGGTCGCGTGCTAGTGTACGACATAGTGCGGCCCGGTGTGAAAGGTCAACGGCAGCCGATATTGCGGCTGATCGACAGCAAGGTGATCGACCTGACGAAGAACGCGACTGTGAGTCTGGACGTGCACCCGGCGGTGGTGAGATGGATACAGAATCACCGCGACAATCACGGCCTGCTGGTGCACGTGACCGGGCCGTACGATCGCAAGCGGGAGCACGTGCGGTTGAAGCGCGCCGCGGACGAGCACGAAGAAGCGTGGCTGGTGAGCCAGCCGATGCTGTTCGCTTACATGGACGACGGCCGCTATGAGATGGCATCGGCGCATCAGATAATGGACCGGCGGGCCAGACGTGCCGTGATGCGGAAGAACCGGCGGAAGGACGGTCGCGAGAATTGCCGGCGGCATCCGCTCTACGTCGACTTCGCGGATGTCGGCTGGAACGACTGGATTGTCGCGCCGCCCGGATACGACGCCTTCTACTGCCACGGTGATTGCCCGTTTCCTCTAGCGGACCATCTGAATTCGACGAATCACGCGATCGTGCAGACGCTCGTTTACTCCACCAAGCCGACCATGGTGCCGAAGGCGTGTTGCGTGCCGACCGCGCTCAGCTCGATATCCATGCTTTACTTGGACGAGGAGAACAAGGTGGTGCTGAAGAATTACCAGGACATGGCGGTCCTCGGATGCGGTTGCCGCTGAAACATTTCTCCCTCCTTACCAAACCGCCTGTACCGGCGAGACATCTCCGCGGTGTCTCTTTGGTACAGCGGTACTTTTGAGGATCGTGCTGCTTGCTTGCCCGTTGCTCGACGTCGCTCGCCTCGAGAGAGAAGACGCGGCAGCACGGCGATGCAGCACGCGGAGGATGAAGAAGAAGAGAAGGACGAGCAGAGAGACGATGAGATATTTATTCTGCGCGCTCGCGCGGACTCCCGCCGCGGACTCTCGGACGCGTCTCTGTCGTCGCTATTTTTCTTGTGGATCTTGTGTATCAGAATAAAAAAAAGAAACATGCGAGAGTATGAAAGAGTGTATGTCGTTTAGACTTAAGAGAAAAAAGGGAAATAAGTGAGACGAAAGTATCCATCACAGTGAGGGCAGCGACGAATGTCGAAGTAATCTCATAGTAGGAACGATCACGAGATATATAGGTGTAATTGCGAACGATACGTCTTGCGATTCCCCGATGACACTCTGGCGCGGACAAGGTTTCTCTAGAGATTTATTGGCGCATCGACTAGATCTGACTAGAAGCTTCTTCGATCAAGAAGCTTCTCGATTTCGATCAGAGATGTAACTATTGATACATGAGAGTTCCGTCGCAATCGGTAGGACTAACTCGAGGTGATGATCGAAAGTGAAGGTGAAAGTCGACTAATGCGAATCGATCAACAAGGGTTGATCGTCATCTCGAGCTGAAAATCATGGCCGAGCGGCGATATAATTGAGAGCAGCAGCCGTTATTGTTGCCGTGGATCATCATCCGAGCCGATTAAGAATGCGATGATAAGAGGAGCAGCAGCAGCAGCAGCAGCAACTTGCTTGCTTGCTTGCTTCCTTCCAGCCGGATTCAATTGAGAAAATGACGAGATTAACTCCTATCTGATGATGAACAGGCGACCATCGGCAGATCTAATTTTACGAGTTAACGTCCGCCCAGTTTTGCCTCCGCCAAATGTGCATCGTTCGAATCTCTCTGTGACGCGGTAGACGAGATAAGAGACGAGACACGACAGGACGAAGAAGAGTGTGCGCGCGCGCGCGCGCTGTTGCTGCATTCCTTGTAATCTTCTCTCACCAGTGATTCTCATATTTCCACATAGAAATAGAAACGTTCACGCGAAACGTCTACGCGAAGGCGACACTCCCGACGTACCCCGGCACTCGTCGTTCTCTTCGAACACCCAAAATGACTCTACTTCGCTTGAAAAAAGTAAAAAGAAAAGTAAAGAAAAAGAATGCTGGACAGCGGCGCCCTTCGTGCCTGCGAGAAGGACTTGAGAGCTGCGTCGATTCTGTGACTTTTGTCTGTGAAAGTGCGATAAAAAACGATTCATTCATTAATTTTATCATATTGTATCCTCTTCTAACAAAGCGAGTTGCGTCCAGCGACGAATGATATTATACAATGTTGACGCAATTTAATTTCTTTCTATCTGTTTTGTGTTTGTTTTTGTCTTCTCTTATTTTCGTACGCTCGCATACTTGCGAATCCACACGTTATAGGCGCGTTATAGAGAGATTTCTCGATGTAAGTCTCGCGAAATGGGAGATGATAAGCGAGCGGCGTGGGTAACACAGCGCGACAAATAAAAGGGAACAAGAGCACCGAGTGATTTCGATTTCGGCGAAGATTGCGCATCACTGGTAAACTACACACAGTCACATTGCGAGAGACACATACACAGGCACCGTAACACTTCGGCGAGTAGACAACGAGATCACGTGTCGGAAATGCATAATTGACTAATAGTAACGTGTAATTTCGACGATATAGAAATGCCTTTTCTATATGCTCGCTCTTGCGCGCACACGCGGTAAACCATCATCAATGCGGCAATGTCGACTGTTCCCGTATCGATAATGGTGTTCGTCATGCAAAAATGAATGGTAAACGTGAATGGTAAAGCCCACCGGTCGTTGAATCGCGTATCGATATTCGCGTCTGGACGATATCGCCGCAGCAAACGTTTTGAAGGGACAGGGCAGCAAATTGGACGGGTAAATCGGCGTGTCCGGTGCGCGCGCATTTCTCATCCACATCTACGAGGACGTATGTAATGCATTTCTCTTTCTTCCCCGCTGACAGACGCGAGAGTCAATGTATATCTTACATAAATCCTGCCGTCACGAATAAATTGTGTACCTGCCTATGAGAATTACTCTATTTATTTTTCTTTCTTTCTTTTGCCAAAAGATCTTCAACACACGTGTATATTTGTACAGAAGTGTTAATTAATAAGCGAGCGCCGTTGTAAAATGTGTATAATAGGTAAAATAAATGAGTCTGTAAACAATTGTAAATAATACGATGTAAAGTATTGTGTGCGTATGTATATTCTCGCATATTTTATCATTATTTTCTTCTCCCCACCCTCAATTCTCCCCACGACTGTATACAGAGAGAAAGATAGATAGATTGCGTGTGTAAATATTAAATAAATTTGATATGGCAATCACACCAGTTTGTAATCTCAACACCTTTCTGGATATTCTCGCTCGTGGCTCGTATTTTTTGCAACGCACATCTCAAAGAACACATTCTGTGTGTGAGATTTGCATTAATTTTTACACGCACGTACGCTAATCAACTAATCATTGTTTGAAAAGTTCATTTAGTTTGATTTTATTTATCACAGGAATTACAAGATTAAAATTAATAAAAACTTTAACTTTGAGGACAACGTAAACCGAATACACAATGGCCGCTCATAATTACAACACATTCCATTGCTCGCCACCATTCGACTCTCGAAATTCCGCTTATTTGAGACTTCATAAAAACATAAACCCGAACGCCGTGACTACGTAGCGATATTATTTATCATCTATAAAGTACGATGATGAATACAACTGTTTCAATATCAGCGCAGACTCCTTGCATTACTCCCGTAAGACAAGATAATTCTGACCAAAGAATTATCTTTTCTCGAGGGATCCTGCGTATTATAAAAGGCAATTTTTTTGTTCACAAATCCTATAATTATTATAATTATTAAACTGTATAAACAATAAGCAATGTATATAAATCGCACGTCAACATCTTTCGCAAGACATCTACGGAATTTCAAGTTTATGTATCCCTTACATACATATTGCTGACCGAGTGTCATACGCGATATACAATTTACTTTACATTATTTACGATGATTTTAGTGTACTTTGTACAATAATATTACAGAAAATTTCGATTCTTCACAGTAATAACTGTAGAGCACTCGTCAACCTTGATTCAATCCAGGTCCGTGCAGCTCTATAAAGGTTTCGAGGCAACGTGGCACGTTGCCGGTATACGACAAATTGTAAGCCTTCACCGCTTTGGCCGCCATACACATTAGAGACAATTTGGTCTGTGATCGTAGTATTATTTCAGCTACGCCTGCAATGCACAAGTGAAATATCAACCAGATAATTTGCAAGTTTGGGCACTGGCGTACTGCAGACGGAATGCCTGAATCTCTAATATTCGAGTGTTATATTTACCTGTGGTGACTGCATCGTACGGTGTGTGTCCTCTGTTATTTACAGTGTCCATATGCGCTCCAGCTTCTATGAGCTCCATTATAATTGAGTGTAAAGTCGAAAAATCGCTACAAAGTTTGAAGGATTTTATAAAAATCTCTTTGTATCTTTGTAACTGTGTGATATCAATCATAAAGTACCTAATGGATTTACTGTAGCCAACAATAATGTGGAGCGGCGTGTTTCTCTCGTTGTCCATCGCGTTCACATCGGCGCCGCAACGAATTAATAATTTTGCCGTGGCCGCGCACGGAAATCTAGAAATCACATAAATTGCTTAAATAAAGCTTCAAATTTAAAAATTAATTTTTTGACCTTTTAACTCTCTCTCTCTCTCTCTCTCTCTCTCTCTCTCTCTCTCTCTCTCTGCCTTTCTTTCTCTTGACGTACTTGCAAACATCGTTAGTGTGAAAATCGTCGACGGGAGTTTCAGCATTCACAGCGAGATGTAACAGAGTCTGTCCATCTTTCAAACATATCCGTAGCGCGCACAACTTGTGAACCAAGTGGTGCGCTTTAGTCAAATCCGATTCGTTACATCTGTTCCCGTTCAGAGTCATGAGTTTCGTCAAAATCGTTAAGATATACAAAGTCGTTGTGGTATTTGACTCCAACTCTTCCTATGCAGATATTACTTCTAAATACGGAGAAATATGTTTCTATATGTGTCACACAATGAGAGGGTGCACGATAAAGTAAACAAATTGGAAGTGGATCCGAGTGATTTTCACATTAAACGTACAACATACTGTTCAGCGTCATCCTTCAGGTCTGGATTTTGCATCTTGGCTTTATTCTTGCTCAATTCCGTAATGCTTGCCTCCAGTACATTTATCACTTGAGAAATATCCAGATCGACACCTACGTGTATCATCTGCGAGAAGACTTGCGCGAATCGAAGAAGATCCGTCACAACGGTTATATTATTAAGCTGCCTCAGTTTTAAAGCATGCAGCCACAAGTCTATGCATCTATCAAATCTGGCGTTATCCGCGAATATTGCACCTCTGAATACTATAGGATGTGTCAGTTCTGGATTGTGGAGGCCTGTATAAGAAAATATTAAAATACATATTATATAAATAATAGGGCAATACTTTAGTAAAACATATGTATCAAGTGTATATCCACCTAATATTCTCTCTCGAATAGCAAGCGACTCCATGTGTATGGCATTAGCATTATTTTTGATATTTTCTAATTGTTCTAGCGTTTCACATTCCTTCCAGTTCTCGTACGCTTTCACTGTTAAACCTAGTTTCTTATATACAATATTATTAGTATCGCTATACCTGGGGGGACATAAGAAAAATGACACAGATGTAACGAAAACGAGGTATTATGTTTCGATAAAATAAAAGAATATATGATAGTAATTGGCCTTGCCTTGCCTTGCCTTACCTTAATTCCATTGCCTTATGCAGGTACTTGTACGCTTTAATTAGGCAGTAACTATCCTTATCGTTAGCGTAAGATGCTCCGAGTAGCTCGTAAGCATCTATTATCTCCTCTTTTGTTACTTCTTCTCTCTTTACTAAGCATTCAACTACTTGTGCGCGCGTACGCTCAGCAGCCGCTATTAAAGGCGTCATACCGCTTACATTCTTTGTCATTTTCGTCCCATACCTCAACAATTCGCGAACGATCATGGTATGTCCACACTCGGCGGCAAAGTGTAATGCTGTTGCTCCACAAAGTGCTTTTTGATTAGGATCCGCTCCTTTGTCCAGTAGAAAATTTACCTGAGATATAGTATGGAAAGCTTTAGATATTGAAAATAAATAAATATCAATAAGTATAACACAATAACATAATGTATATTGTAAATTATGTATGGTAATGTGTAAATATTCTCACAACATCAAGATGTCCCTTGTACGCTGCAATCATGAGGCAGGTGTTATTAAATTTGTTAGAAATACTTATATCTGCTTGATGATCAGTTAAATATTTAACGATATCCAAACGACCATCAAAGCATGCAGCTCGAAGTGGAGTGGAATTAGTTTTCGTCGGATGATTAACATTCGCTCCTGCTTTCACAAGAGTTTTAACAACATTCAAATGTCCTGCTCCTATAGTCAATATGTATCATAGTGTATAGTGATATATTGTTATAATACAAAATTATTTCCTTATTATTTTTTGACTGTACCTGCTGCAGCCCAAAGTGCACTAGCTCCTTCAATAACATATCCATCAAACTTAACAGTCCCTTCTTGCTCTAAGTCAGGCTTAAATTTGTCTAGCAGCATTTTAACTACCTTATCATGTCCATAACGTGCGGCAATAATTAAAACTGTACACCTTTGCCCATCATCTTCTAAAAATTTCTATAAATATAAATATAGATATTATTTTATACAAATTTGCACTTTTTTATTCGTTATATATATTATATTACATATTGTGATCATATAATAGATTTTGTAGTTTATAAAATTTATATAAAGATTTGTAACATATATATATATATCCAATATTAATCAAACACTTTTGAGTATAATAAAAACTTAAAACTATAAATTTTTTTATTACAAGCATATTTTTTCTTTGTTCATACTATAACATCAACATACACAAACACATGCACATACATATTGTGTATCTAAGCATGTTGCAAGTTGCCCTAAATAATTCCTTTTAGATGTGTTACAAACTTATGTAGGTTTTAGTGTCACATCGATACTTATATAATAACAACTTTTACGAATTTAATTATCTCAATTATTATTAAAATAATTCCTGGAATTAGATGTATATAGATCCAACAATAATTCTAATTTGCTATTCAATACAATTCTAAAATTATAATCAAAACAAGATGTTATTATAGAATTAAAGCTAGAAATTATTGTGTACATAATTCTGAATAAAGCATTCATATACTCAGTAATAAGATATTAGTCTATTCTCGATGTATCCCTTTTTTTGCAAAAGAATAATCTGATCAAGCATCAACATTATTAATATAACCGATTATTATTCAGCTGCATAATATCCATGTTTACGACATACGTCAAAAACAGCATCACAAAAAGTGACACGATAGCTAATATTTACCCGTGACCAACTGATATTTATATGAAATGACGCAACGAGCGCACGATTTACCTGGTTAATTAGGCGATTGATATCGGCGTTCGATCTATCGTTGAGCAATGTATAAAGAGCGATCGCCATTCCATCCCTTGCTGAATAATAAATCCGTTTGGCTAACGATTTCTGGAATTCGTCTATTATCTCGCTCACGATGTCCATGTCGCGTGCTCCTCGTCGCCAGACGTCCTGACAGTACTCGAACAATATCAACCGAAAGCACACAGGAACGTGGTAACCTCAAAACTCATGTTCCTCGCCGTTCGCGAGCGTACGGAAAATACATCGCACGCCGCCGCCACGCTCTATTTTAAGAGCGTTGCACACGAAAATATATCAATTCCGATGTAAAAATAACCAGAACAAAGCGTTTTTGCGCCGTGTATTCCTTTGTTGCTCCGACATCAATGTCAGGCGTTGAGCGTGCCTCTCGGAAACACGAAAAATCTCATTTGCAATCGTTTGTCGTTCAATCGACGAATAAACGCCCACCCCGGCCGAGTATCCGCTCATTCATCGTGTCCTGTCGAAGTCAGTCTCTGTTGTTTATATTTGAAACAACGAACTCGTTTCTCGCCTCGAATAGAATACATATCAATGCATCATACGCGATAAACCGCAGAGGGTCGCGACAAGTGTTTCGCGGACTGCGTTGATTGGTATTTCGCACTGCTCTCGACGCGATCGACTTGCAAATGCGCCAATAACGTCGCGTCGTAGAGACGCGCTATTCGATTCTGCTGGCGAAATTCGCGCGACAGGTTAAAATGTCGCGCGTTCCAGAAACTCCGTCCCGAGAAAATAAATATTTTGGCGATACGTACCATACGCGCGTGGCTGACTATATATAGCAGATAAATATGTAGAATAAGTTGAAGTGCGTATATACACAAACCCGACGCCAAATACGCATCACGTCTGAAGTTAGACGATACCATGACTCAGATCGTCGTGACGCGCTGTTCGACGATGATTCGACAATCGAGGGTTTCGCGCAAAAATGAAAAAGATCTAGTTGAGCTTCAGACTCGAAGTCACGTTTAGCACCGAATGCGTAGCGCATTGCAATCTCCGATGAATGTAATTACAAATACACATATACAAATAGACCACAGGTAGAGCTTCACAAAAATATATATTTTTTAGAATTTTCGATGAAAATATATGGCGTTATATATTAATAATGTACATTATACTCTTTTCACGTTAAAATTATACTATTAAACAGGTCACTTGGACGTCGTTTTTATCACTAATGATAATTTGTCATGGCTTGTTGTGCACATGTTTTCCATTTCACAAAATAAAACTGTATCAACTCTATTTCTATCTCCTAGTCTCTTAGAACAAATGAGATTCAAAATGAAAATTACGATAAACAAGTTATTAAAATGCGACAAATCTCACATTATACTGCATAACAAATTTTGTTTCCGCAACGCAATGCAAGCATTGAAATTTAATTATAAAAAACAAATAACACACAATCACAAACGCACATTGAATATTTTTGTACATTTGCATATTTTTGCATTTTCGAATATCTGTTAATTTCTCCTATCGTTATACTATCATGTAAAAAATACCCTAGGATAGAGATCGTAAGGGAAATATGATGGAAATAATACTATAATAATACTATAATAACTAACATCACACTACTTCCTTTTGAAGAAACTGCGTTCTTCTAGAACCTGCTCCATCTTTTGTTTAAGAAGACGCAAAGTTTTATCAATGTTCTCTCCAAATTTTTCTATCATATCATGTATACTTGCATCAATCTCAAGTTCGAGTTCGGAGGCTTTGCGAACTTTAGGTAAATATGTATTCGAAGTCTTCCGTAATTTCTCCCGTCCATTAGACCTGCACGGATATTACATGATTATTTATATTAATAATTAAATTTAACAGACAATGTTTGTTTCTTAACCTCGTACAAAACTGGTACCTTTTGAACAGCCAATCCGCACTTTTCATTTGATGATGGTCTTGCTCCACTGGTTCGTCCTTAAATAAATTTTTATGACTTTTACCCAATTTTGGTACATGGTCTTTCTTTTTAATTTTGGGTGGTATGTTCTTGTTTCTAACTGGTTTATCAGTATTAGAGACTTTTTTGGCAAAATCGTTTGATCTGGAATAGTTATTTGGCATTGGTTCTTTTATCTTGGTTTTATTTGTAGTAATTTTTCCATTATCTGATGTAATTTTTGTGTTTTCCCTAGTCTCATCAAAACTATGGTTCAGTGTTTCATCTATACACTGACCTATTATGGTAGGGTATGAATAATCATTTGTTATTTTATCACAACATATTTTAGCATCAGCTGTCTGAGTATCCTTTTCCTCAAACATTTTTTGCAACACTGAATCATCAGCTCTTTTTGTTTGCTTCTTTTTATCATTTGTCTTTGTATCTTGTTCCTTATTTGCTTTGCCATTGAATTTCATTGATGTATTTTTCAAATAACAATATTTCTCATAGTTACTTAAAAGCTGGCTCTTTGCAGTTAATTGTTTTAGAAATTCGTTATCTTCAGGTAACATACTTTTCAAGTAGCACACTTGTTCATTTAATTTATATCCCATTTTACTATACTTACTATGTATATTTAACATTATGTTGCTTATTTTCTTTACTAAATCAATGAGAAGTGAATGAGAGGTATGATGTATCTTGTCAATAGCATTTTGTAAAAATCTAAAATATATAACATAATTTTGACATATAATAATATATATGATAAAATGTGTATATCTTATTAGCAATACTTACTGCACAATAGCAAAAGCATTCATATTTTTAGTATTATTATTAAATGATATTAAAGTTTCATAAAATGCTTTTGTATTATTTATGACATCTAGGGTCTTGTTTATCTCATTTTTCAACAGGCTATTGCTGTTATAAATATCGTTACTCAATAATGATAATACATTTAAGAATATTTCAAGATGATCCAATAGGTATGTATTATTGTTGAAATTATTCATTTTATTAGAATAATTAATACTTTTTAAAAGCTGCTTAGCACGATCTTCGTTAAGTTTATTTTTCATTACAATATGTGCTTTGATTTCACTTAGTGTTATATTCACTAAACATAAAGAATTTGATTAAATAACAGAAACTATAGAACATATAAGTAAAATGTTAGCAAAAGTCTAATTTTAAACTTACCTTCTTTGAAAGTATTAATAATACTACGACATTCAGTTAGACCATTTTTAATTTCATCCGTATTCCTATTAATTTGCCAAATACCGCAAGAAAGATAACCAATAAGACAAAAAGTTATACAGACAAGTAACATATGAATTAACATCATGTCTCCCTGCATATGATCAGATTATTTTAGATTTAATACTCTGTCATTTTAACATAATAAATAGATTTTAACATAATAAATAGTACCTTGATATCATTTTCTGATTGGTTTTCTGATGAATTCTGATGAATGATTTTATCAAACATATCCTTAGATCTATATCTATTGTAATTTAAACGAGTTGATGAAACATTTTTATTTAAAACACCTGTATTATTTTTTGTTATATTATTTTGTAATTGAAAGTAACGAATGACTTTGTCAATCATGTACTCAGGTTCAGATATTGTGTTATTTTCATTAGTTAAAAGAATTTTGTTAAGAGCATCTGTATCATTTTCTGTTATGACAGATATATCATTGGATGTGTCGTCTGAATCTGTATATTCACATAATATTTCAATGCCATTATTTGGTACTTGTATCACCTGAGTCTTGTTAATTAAATCCTTTAAAAATTAAAATATTTTGACATTTCGTTCACATTGACTTCTTATTATAATAACTTATTACAATTTATGCCTGGTATTAAAATATCCTAAATATACTACTATTATATATTAAATTGCATAATTCACCTCTTGCAATTCTGGTAACTGATTAGTTTCATTATCACAGGTTTGTTCAGTGCTCCTGTTTATTAGGACCCAACTCTTCTCACTTGCGTTCTCGTTCAATTCTTCTGTATTTACGTTATCCATTGTTTATCTTGTAAAACAGCTCCAACAATTCCTTGTTGAACAATATAACCAAGTAATCCAATGGAGGAAAGAAACGCTAAATTTGCAAATTGATATCTACGATTATATTCACTGTTTGACCCACGATTTGTTAATGTTTCGACTGAATTTCTTGGTTAGCAGGTAAAAATACGCACCAATCAGAAAGAAAAGAGAGTGAGAGAGAGAGAGAGGGGGGCGAGGGAGAGAGAGAGAAAAGAGAGAGAGAGAGAAAAAGTGGAGAGAGAGAAGGTAGAGTGCACATGAGGGCTGCGTTCTGAAATTCACTGTCAGTACTAAAAATATATAATTTGTGTCACGTATATTATAGATTTTCGGTACTGCTAGCGAATATCGGAATGCAGCTATGATATGTACTAATAAACCGACGAGACTGATATATACATATATATAGTAATATTTGCATTTAAACTTTTAAAAAATAAACTTTTCTATTGAATCTCGAACATTGTGTATTAGACATTCATGTAGTGTGAACGTGCTCTTATTTTTCAACTTTATTCACTTTCTGTCTTAAAGGCCCTCTTATACTAGAGATGGTCAATGTCAAAAAAATAATTGGCGTAAAAATAATTGCTCTTCAGTTTTACAGCAATATCTCTATTTTCGAGTTGCGAGCAGTTGCTGTGAAGAGAAAAATTCAAGGGTCGATATAAAAACGGTGCTAAGAGATTATAAAATACAAGTTAAAATTTAAAAAGAAACAGCAAAGTGAATTGTCTTCGGTGCTTCAGGATGACAGAGCATAAGTTTCCACAATTGAAAAATGATCGCATACTTAGGGCAGCACGCGGAGAGCCCGTTGACAGGGTTCCTGTTTGGGTTATGAGACAAGCTGGCAGATATCTTCCGGAATTTCAAGAAGTGAGAGCTCGACATGATTTTTTCACTGTTTGTCAAACTTCAGCATTAGCATCTCAGGTGACCTTGCAGCCAATATTGCGTTTTGATCTGGATGCTAGTATAATTTTCTCAGATATTCTGGTGATCCCTCAAGCGATGGGCCTGAAGGTTGAAATGGTAGCGGGTATAGTGAGTATTTTCTTTGAATCATAAAGTATATTGGTCAATAAACAATATATATTCATTATTATCTATTCTCTATAAATAAAAAGTATTTGTTAGGGTCCGGTTTTGCCTCAGCCTTTAATCAATCCAAGTGACTTGGCAAGACTTGTGCGGCCAAATGTAGAAGAAGCTTTAAAATATGTTGGAGATGCTATAACATTGACTAGACATAAACTGGATGGGAAAGTACCATTGATAGGATTCAGTGGAGCACCTGTAAGTATCTTTGTGTTGTTCTATATTATTAAGAAACCTAAATATTAAGAACTTAAGTATCAAGAAACTTAAGTATTTATTTATTCTAGTGGACCCTGATGGGTTACATGATTCAAGGAGGTGGTAGTTCTACAATGGCAAAGGCAAGATCATGGTTGTATAAATATCCAGAAGATTCTCATAAATTACTACAGATGATTACAGATGTAATTGTGGATTATTTAATAATGCAAGTAAAAGCTGGTGCTCAGGTACAATTAGAAATATATTTTAATAAAAATATTAGATTTCTCTCACAATTCTTTCTTTTCAATTGCACGTATTAAAGTATGGAAAAAGGACAACATTATATTATCTTTTCAAGTTACTGCAAGTATTTGAAAGTAATGGAGACTATTTAGATGATACTTTGTTTACAAATTATTCCTTCAAATATCTCAAACAAATTAGCAAACGTGTACGAGAACAGTTAAAAAAAGAAAATATCCCAGAAGTACCCATGGTAAGTTATCTATCTTATCTGTAAGTAATAAGTTATCCAAGGCAAATCAAGTTATTGAACAAACTGCATTTGTTTTTAGATTGTTTTTCCGAAAGGTGCAACCATGAAGTCTTTGGAAATTCTTGCAAAAGATCAAAGTTATGAAGTTATAGGCTTAGATTGGACCATAGATCCTGCGGAAGCTAGAAAATGTCTTGGACCTAATGTTACATTACAAGGTAACATGGATCCTTGTGCAATGTACTCATCACAGGTAAATTACATTTGTACAAAATACAAAGATATTTACAAATTATCAAATACATTAAATATGTCTGATATTGCATTTAGGATGAAATTGTTGATCGTGCACAGAAAATGGTGGTAAAATTTGGTAAAGATCGATATATTGCCAATTTGGGGCATGGTATTTTACCAGACACTCCCATTCCATCTATGCAAGCTTTTATTAAAGGTGTACATACTGCGTAAGCATATTCTTTACAGTCATAAACATGCATACATTATATATTTGTTAAATAATTATCATTATATTAAATTGTTTATCTCTCTGTTAACACATTTAACGGAATTTTATAATATTTCCAATGTCAGAAGTATCTTTTTGATATTATTTTTCAATAAAGGGAAGTCTTGACTAGTTCGTTCCATTATATGTTTTAAGTAATCATGAAGGATCTGTTCATTTTGGAATTCTTCATTCAATGCTGTTTCACTCTTGAACAGCATCTTGTATCGGCCATTTTTGATATCTTGGAGCATTTTAGCTTTCCGTTGTTTAAAAACCAATGCTTGTAAATTCTGCAGATAACCAAAGGTTTTACGATAAGTAGTAATTCTACATAATAATATGAAATGTTAAGAAAATTAAGAATCTGTAATAATACGTGACATACATGATATTTAATAGCTTCCGTTTGTATAATTTCCTGATCCACATTTGGAACAATGTCTTCTATTGCTTTTAACGTTGCACGTGATTCGTTGCACTTTTCTATTATATTTTTTATTTGATCCTCTAACTCTTGTATTCTATTTTCAATTTTTCTGATGTCCTGCAATAAATAATTAATCGCAGAAAGTTACATCGGGGAAAAACAATTTATTTCCGATTTGACGTAAGTGTTGAAATGTACGAACCTTCATGATTTGTTTAATTTTCAACTTTTGATCAGCCAGGCGTTTACGGAATATAACTTTTTGATTATGTTGGCCTTTTGGATCTTTTTTAAATTTATCCATAACTTTGTCTAACATAATATCTCGGCGTGAGATACAAAATTCCATGTCATGTATCAATTTTTCTTGTGCTCTACGCAAATGCGACAGACGCATTTCCATTTTATGAATTTCACTTTTCATTACTGCAATGTCTCCGCCGCTATTACGTTCGTCCCTCAAGCTTTTTATAGTTTCTTGCATTAATTGCATCTGAAAAATAGATAATTAAAACTTGTAAGTTTGCAACCAATATTTCTATGTCATTATGTGAAGTTATATCCATTTATTTCACATACAGATATATACCTTTTTCTCCCATGATAAGCTTTCTCGTTGCACTGCATCTAAATTACTCCTTAAAAGTGTCTTTTCCTCGTGTAAATGCTTGAGATCACCTTGCATTTGTATTAAATTCATTTCTGCATCTTCTAAGGATTGTACACCCTCGTTTCTTGTGATAAAATTCTTGTTCTCTAGTTCCTCTTTCAGACCTTTTTGAATAACTAACTGTGCATTCATTTGTACCAATCTTTGTTGTAACAAATTCATTATTTTCTCCATATTCGAGTCTTCTTTATGGAGCATTTCCAAGGCATGTTCTATCTTCAAATTTTTCTGCTCCATTATCATTATTTCTTTATTAAGAAGATTGACTTCCTGTAGTTGTAAATCTCTCTGTTGACTCAATGTGATCATGTGTCCTTCCTGGCGGATCCAATATTGTTGTGCTTTCTGATTATTCTGTTGTGTCTCCGCAATATTTTTTTCCAAGCTGATTATCTTTAAATCAACAGGATTAATTTCTTCGCCGCCTGTATGCGATAACATCTGTAAAGAAGAATAAATAAAATAGAATTATAACAGAGATATAAGCATTATCTTTTGTTGGATTTCTTATGTCATATATATGTTACTTCTTCGATAGTTTTATTCAGAGTGACGTTTTTGACTTGCTTCCTTTCAATTGCTACTTCATGTTTCTTGATTTCTTTCTGAATTTCATCTATCTCTCTGCCTCTTGCAGCATTATTTTGCAAAAGTTCTTCAAACTCCAACTTCTCCTGAGGGATAGTCGAATTGAGTTGTTCCAAATCCAATAATTTCCTTCCATATGAGTTTTCAGCTTCTACTAGCAACAATTCTTGTTCTTGCATTGATTCTTTAGAATCTAATAATAATTTATTCAAATATCGCGCTGTTTTGTCATGTGTTATTTTTTCTACCAGTCTGCTATATATTACATTCTCCAAAGTGTTGTGTTTATTTAAAAATTTAGTGAATTCTTTATCAATTCCTTCCTCTTCATTTAATAAACATTGCCATTCCTTAAATATAAAGTTAGTGTTGTATTTGAATGGTCGAATAACTTGATAGAGAAGAAAAAAGTTTTCTATGAAAAATATGAACTATATACATATGTAAAATTATTATACATACACCGCTAATTAAATCATATTCATATTGTTCACGTTCACTAAATTTTCCTAATTTTACTAATTCAGATTGCAAGTTGTCAAGTTTGTCATTTTCTATTGTCATTAGTTTCAGATTAGTTTGTATGTTGTCTTCTATTCGTACGTGCAACGAAGTCAAAGTCTCGTTATTCTCTGCTTCTTTAGAAGTGTCTTTCTTCAATTTCTCTATTTCCGCACGTAACATATTGAAAGAGTCGCATATTTTCCTAGAAAGATTATTTTTTTTAGATTTTAGTTCTTACCCAGCAAAATTTTTTATTGGATTAATTATTTTCTAATAAGATACAATTTCATTTTTTATCTGTGTTTTCTCTGATCATAGTATTATCTTTATATTTTTTCGCTTTATAGCTTTGTTTAAACCTCTAAAAACCATATTACATACTCGCGTTCTGCATTTATTTGTTCATAAACTTTATTTCGCTTAGTAATATTCAGTATAACAGAATTCCAAGCATTGCATAAATTTGCATGTTGTTTGTGCAATGCTTCCAAGTCGGTATTAACATCGGTGATCATCTGATTTGTTTCAATCTTTTCTTTATTTTTAAGCTGTAATTGTATATCCAAATTAGCTATCTCAGTTTTAATTCTCCATACTTCTTCCATGAGTTTAAATATTATACAGTCTTTTTGTTGTTTCCGAGCAATTAGTTCTTGCTGAATTGTCTTATCCTTCTTTGACACTTGTTTGGAAATAGTCAAACTATTTTCTAGCTCAGTTTGCCACTCTGAGAATTTTGCTTGCAAAGCTGTAAGTTGTTCTAATTCATAAACAAGGCTCTCCATTTTCTTTTTCTCATTGAATAATTTGGCATGAGTGGCCTTATGAAGACTCTTTGTATCCTTCACATGTGCATCTTTCTCTTCACGCAGTGAAATGATGTTCCCTATCATACTTTGATATTTCTCAATTGACATTTGCTGCTTTGCTATTTCTTGTTGAGCATAATACAACTGTAAACCTGCGGCTTCACGTTCTTTCTCAACAAGTTTTATCTGACCTTCCTGAAATATTTGCGATATTGATATGTAAAGAATATCAGTGTATTCCGCGCGCTTTTATATTTTGTAAATTCAATTATAAATGCAAAGAAAAACCGGGTACTTACAAGTTCTAATATTTCATCATTCAACTTCTTGTCAACACGGGTAAGGTGTTCTCGCAGGGCATCTTGAAATTTCTTCATCAAAGAATCATCTGGATCCAAAACATTTGGCACCTGCATGGGTTTTGCGTCTATCCATAATTTTTTTGTAAGTTTAGTTTCCGATTGTTCGATATTAGCATTAAATAAATCATCACGAGATGAAATTAAATCATTGTTTGTAATTGACATATTCATCGTGGAATACGATATTTACGACGTGTTAAGTGCCAAAAAGGAAAGATCTTCGATAAATCTTGTGCAATAATTACAATTTTTATAAAAAAACAGTTTTCTATCCTAAAATAAACATGTTTTGCAATAAATCACTCTGCGTCAGATTGTTGTTGATTCAAACTAACACCGTAGCTAAGGAAGTCATATGATAAATCTCCGCGTCACTGTTAGATGGCACCAGCTGGGCTATACCGCTCTAAGTTTTATTTTTATTGCATAAATATACACACAGATAGCCATCAGAGAGAGAGAGAGAGAGAGAGAGTGAGTGAGTGAGTGAGTAACGTACAACTTCCTTGCGAATGCAGTTCACAAGAACAAACTTCAGGTGAGAAAAACGTTTCTTGAGCGCATTTTGTCGCTGATAGACTTGTTATCGTCATAATTCTCATCGTCACTCTTGACACACCTCATTTCGCTGCTGGTTTGTTATGACAGTTTACACGTCATGCTGTGTCGCGCTAGGATTTGATAGACGAGCTAATGAAAAGATATACGATCGTAATTGCGAGGTTACAGAGTTCGTGTAGAATGACGAAGTGTTACGTTAATATTCATTGAGATTTACCGAGCGACGCACAGCATGCGCGCTGAGGATGAGAATATGGAGCAAAATTGCCCGGAGAAGAAGACCATAAGATTCCGCGGTACTGGCAAGTCCAAGAGTCACGTTTCGTCTAATAATAAACGGGTAGAAAATGTCGAATCTCCGCACTGTAGAGAACAGTTATCGGAGTCGCATGATTTGGAAAAGAAACAAGGTATACTTCATGTATTTCTACGGAGCATTCTGTGAAAATCTGAACTTTAGAAATAATTATTAAAGTAAATAACATTACATCTGCTTCTATATAGTTTAATGTCGAATATATCTTATTTTTCCAGGTGTGTCCTTGATGCAATTTTTAAGAACAGAATTAACAAGAGGCTATCAGCTGGAACACGATGAAGAAAGATTCTCTGCCAGGAGGGAGAAGATTTATTCATTTTTACAAATACCCAAAGAAGTAGAAGAGTTTATGGTTTATGGTTTCCTTCAGGTATAATTAAATACTAGAGTGTTGTCTGTCATAGAAGTAAATTGACATGTGATAGCGATTATATATTTCTGAAATACTTTAGCATTAACTGTTGTATATTATTTTTGTTTCCATAGTGCGCAGATTCTTTTCTTTTTGTATATACATTTCTACCATTGAGATTTGCAATGGCTCTATGGGCAGTGATTACAAGGCCATTACAACATTGTTTAAGGTAAATATCTATTTATTAATATTTAATTTCTTAAATATTTACTTATTTAAGGATTCTTCTTGATATATCTTGTTTATAGGAGTGGAAAGTTTCGTGGTGCAAAAAATACAGGAAAGTATTTAAGTCCTGCAGAAGTATGTGATTTATTAAAAGGAGTTGTAGTGGTAGGTTGCTGGGCAGCCACCTGGAAAGTAGATACCTCCATGATGTATCATTTAGTTAAAAGTCAATCGGTTATAAAATTGTACATTTTCTACAATATGTTAGAAGTAGGAGATCGTCTTTTCAGTGCTTTCGGTCAAGATACTATAGATGCTCTGCTTTGGACTGCCACAGAACCACGTTCACGTTCATCCCGTAGGCAACATTTAGGTACACTGCCACATCTCTTATTCGCTGTTGTCTATGTGTGTATCCTTTGAATAATTTGTGCAACGATGCATGATTCGACTCGAGGTAGATCCACATAATATATGTATATACATGCCTTACATGCATTTCTATAAAGTATTGCATAGTATACTGGTCTTATTCCAAGCTACAACTCTGAATGTGGCAATCAACAGCAGTAATAAAGCTCTCCTCACAATCATGATGTCCAATAATGTGAGTGTACTGTGAGAAGAAGTGACCTCCTTTTCCCATGTAGAGCACCTCACCTAAATTATCACTTTCAGTTTGTAGAACTAAAGGGTTCGGTCTTCAAGAAATTCGACAAGAACAACTTATTCCAATTATCTTGCTCGGACGTCAGAGAGAGGTTTCACTTGACTATGCTACTGCTTGCAGTGAGTTTGCAAACAATGAAAGAGTATGCGTGGCATAGCGATCGTCTCGCTGTTCTGCTACCCGATTGCGCGTTGGTTTTGTTCGCCGAAGTCCTCGTCGATTGGGTTTGTATTATAACAGAAAAAAATACATATGACAAAGAATAATATATTGATATAAATGTTATTTATTCAAAAGTCTTTGTCATCAATGACATTTGTATTTTTGCAAAGGTGAAACATGCGTTCATCACACGTTTCAACGAGTTACGTTCTACTGTCTACCGAGACTACACGGTGAGTCTCGCGTACGATATGGCGCAAACTCGTAAGGAGACTGCGTTTTCGGACCCCTCGGATCTGGTTGCACGACGAATGGGCTTCATACCTCTACCGCTGGGCGTTGCTATGGCACGTGTTCTGTGCACAACTGTGACACCATCTGCGAGACCGGCGAATCTGATACTTTTGCTATTAGCTTACTTCGTACTGGTAGCTCTTCGCATATTGAACAGTATAATCATTCTTGGCAGAGCGTGCGACCTGATGTCTTCGCGCACGCGTCCTGAGAAGGACACAAACTCGAAACCTCCATCTCTAACGAAACGCGCCAACAGCGTCGACATGAAGAAACCAAATCTCGGCACGGCGATCTTCTCGAACAGTGCCGTTAGTTTGAATAATGTCTGCTTAAATGAGGCATTTCTGCAGGAGGAGGAGGCCGCGGCTGCAACAGTGGCGCAGAAAAGCGAAAAGCACGCGTGTAATGCGAACGATCTCACGACCGTGACGAAAACTGTGCTAAGGACAGGAAGCGAGCCTCTTCTCCCGCAATGACGAAACTTAATAGTACAATTGAAACGTAACAGTTTTCTATTTATGAATTGTACATATTTTCCGTTGTACATGTACACATGTGCATACATCAGTTTTGTGCGTATCGATCGTGTTATCTCGCAGTAATATTTACCAATAACGTTTCTATGTACATGTGTATAAAGGGTTAAAATAAATTTGGTTACTATTTATTCGTACATTTCGTCGTTGGTGCAAATTTGTTTACAGATCCTCAGTTATAACGCGTGTGCGAGATTCTGTCAAGCACGCCGAGAAAGCACGAGATCTCGCAACGATTTCTTTCCTTACGTTCCTACCTTACCGACGAACGAGCGACAGAGAACCCGGTCCGGTCCGGATCGAGCCAAGTCGAGCGCCACGACACGTCAACAATGGTAACTATCGACTACCGGCGTGGTGGCGCGCGTAACCCTCGCCCCCCCTCGTCGTCCACTCACACTGTCTCACTCTCTCTCTCTCTCTTCCTCGCTGTTTCCATCCTCCTCTCGTAACGTTCGGTCCCGTTCGCCGTCTCACTCGTGGCCGACAAGCGCGGGACGTCACGGAGGCGGTGGAGGACGTCGGTCCTCCGCTCTTCGGGAGCGCGAATCACGCGAATCCGCAATAGTAACGACCGACGACGTCCTCGTCCAGAGTGCCCTGGCCGCGCAGCTGCTCCGTCGCGACGCGCATGGGTCATTTTCCTCGCACTTGTCGACGCGTACCGGTTGAAGCAAGTTGAATGGACGAGGGTACGAAATACCGAGTGCCGATCGGCGACGCCTGCGTGTCTATGCGCGTGTGCTTCGACTCGCTGTGCTTCTCGTCGACGCAGCAGCAGCTCGCCGACGAGGAGGACGCCGACGCCGCCGTAGCCGCAGCCGCCGCCGCCGCCACCGCCACCGCCGCCGCCGCCACCACCTCGCCGCAGCTGCCGACGACGGTCGTCGCGGCCGTCGCCGCTGTTACCACCGCTGTCAGCAGCATAGCCAGCACCACCGTGCCGCAGGTTGCTGTGCCGCACGTCGGCTTCGGAGGAGGTGTCCCGCTCGCCAGCATGAGCACCCTCAGGGAACTGCAGGAGCTGCTGCGTGTCAAGGACGAGCGGATCGTCGAGCTCGAGACGGCGCTCTGTCGTCGCGACGCCGAGATCCAGGAGCTGCGGAGCCACCTCGACAAGTTCCTCAGCGTGCTGCCGTTCAAGTCGCCGTTGACACCGACGAAGCCGCGGCCGCGCAAGCAACGTGCCCAGGGTATCTCCGCGGAGCCGCCGTTGCAGGAGCTCGCGCCCCTCCGGCTGGTCGACAAGAGCGACAGGTTGGTATTGTCTACCTATTTATCCGCGTACGTGGTCTTACGTAGGCTTACAGGTACGCGTAAGCGTTTCCCATGTTCTTCTCCTCGCCTCGCTCGTCGAAGGTGGTCGTCGCACTTCGACGCAGCTCTCGCCTCTGCCACGTTCAATCGGGTATTTTTAACGCGGCGAGACGCGGCACGCGGCACGGCACGGCAGTGCCGGCTCGCTGCACTGTCGCGACGGTGACACCACTCTCTTCGTTCTCCCTTCGTCTGTCTGTCTGTCTTCCCGCCTATCCGTCTCTCGCATTTGGCACACTCGACACTCGCGACTCGCGAGAAATTACACGCACCGTCGCAGCGGACGCTTGCGAATGAATTAAAGCCGATGACGAGCGCATCTGCATAAGCGGAGAAGCGCGCATTCGCACCTTCCGCAACGTTGATTCGCGCGATCTTTAATTAGATCCTCGCGACGAAGCCGAGGATCCTCGACAGATGCGGGGGGGGGGGGATTTCGGTAATCACAGAGACTCTCGTCGACGCGGCGAGCGCGATTACAGGCGGTTACTCGCGCGGGTCACTTGCTTCTTTTTGCTCTCTCGTTGAGGGCAGGTTGCTCTCCAACTGCTTGGTAAGTTAACCGGTAGTTAAATCGTTCAACTTCGTCTGTCGTTCGTTTAAATTGCAGGAAAAATCAAGATAAACATACATGATTTAACTATCAGTTAACTTAGCAAGAAGTCGGAACAACCGGCGGCCCTAAGAGACGAGCGCGAGCTACACGTCCCGGACGTCGAGTCGAAATCATTTCTTCTCTTCCCTGTCGTTCCTCGCATCTCTGTTCGTCGCGACCGTCAACGGGTCGCTCGCGGTATCGCACGCGCGCCAACGTAGAACGTTAGCACCGGCGGTGTTTCCGTGCGCGGCCGGAACGACGACGACGTGTCTGCCATGTGACCCGCCGCGTCGTCGCCGTCGCCTCCGCCGCCGCAGCCGCCGCCGCTGCCTGTTTCCTCGCATTACATCGAAGTGAAGAGACGCCTTTCTCTTTCGCGAAATTGCACTTTTGCACTCGCGTTATTTATGCGCCAAGGTAGGCACTTTCGCCGCGGAGATCACTCTCGATTGCAACGCGACTCCTCGACGCCACGCGCGCAAGTCGGCCTCGACATCTCTCTCTCTCCTTCGTCTTTCGTTTCGCCTCACTCCGAAATCTTGGCTCTACGTTAACATCCCGCCGAATAACAATTCGATCGAAAACTCAGTCGATTACCCGGGCGAATGAACGGTCCGCTTGCTTACAACCTTAATCGTTCGTTTCGCAGTGAGCAGTGTAACTGATTACGTAACTTGTATATATATATATGTAATAAGCAAATATTAAATAATCAGTGAAGTCAGTGGGCAGGTAGTAAACAAAGCATGAGACTTTATTATCACTCTATGGTTCTGATATAATTTGTGATGACTTTTGATGGGAATTTTTGGGGATATACCAGGTGTGTCGGTAATTCCTTTCCGGTTTTTTCGCTAAAGAAAACACGTTATTTACAATGGATAGCTAAAATATATTTATTCAAAGTATTGGCCATTTGATTCTATACATTTTGCCCATCTCTCAGGCAGTTTATGGATGCCATTCCAAAAGAACTGTTTCTCCTTTGAGCTAAACCATTCATCGAGCCATTTTTTAACTTCTTCGAAATCGGCGAAGTACTGCTCTGCAAGCGCGTGCCCCATCGATGCGAAAAGGTGGTAGCCAGGTGGTAGTCAGATGGAGCCAGGTCTGAAGAGTACGGCGGATGCGATAAAACTTCCCATCCAAGTGATTTCAACACTTCTTTGACTGGTTTTGCTGTATGAGACGGCGCGTTGTCATGCTGCAAAATCACCTTATCATGTCTTTGAGCGTATTGTGGACGCATTTTCGATCAATGCACAGTTCAAATTGATCATTTGTTGTTGGTAGCGATCAGTATTAACTGTTTCTCCAGGTTTCAACAGTTCATAATATACGACACCAACCTGGTCCCACCAGAGCATGGTCTTGCGACCAAAGCGATTTGGCCTTGCAGTCGATGGGCCGCCTTCGCCAGGTGATAATCATGATTTTTTCGCTTGGGATTTTCGAAATAAATCCATTTTTCATCACCCGTTACTATTCGATGCAGAAATGACTTCCTTTCATACCTTTGAAGCAGCATTTCACTGACGATTTTTCGATTTTCCAATTGCCTGTCATTCAATTCATGTGGCACCCATCTTCCCATCTTTTGGATCTTTCCCATCGCTTGTAATCGTTCACAAATTGCTACTCTGCTCACATTCAACTTTTCTGCCAATTGTTTTTGAGTTTGTGTTGGGTCTTCATCCAATAACTCCTGCAATTCCGCATCTTCAAACGTTTTCGGCCTACCAGGACGTTTTTTGTCTTGAACGTTGAAATCACCACATTTGAATTGTCGAAACCACGTTTCACATGTTCTTATGGTTGGAGCATGCTCACCGTAAGTCTTTACCAGCAAACGATGACTTTCAGCGGCTTTTTTCTTTTGATTTGACAAGAAAAGTAATGCGTGCCGCAAATGCACGTTTTCAGGCACAAAACTCGACATTTTCAAAAAATTATTAATCTATAACGCTGTTATTTTGGCGGAACGTAACTTGTGTAGTTTTGAGGTTAATGTCAGTAGAATAAAATGACATATGTATTAAATCATAACATTGCATACTTATGGCTAGTGACATCTGTTACAAAAACCGGAAAGTAATTACCGACATACCTGGTGTACGTTGAAAATAGTAATCAGCCACCGCATCGCGCGTCCTGCTGCACTTCGTCCTGAGGATCGAGTCTCGGTTGTCTCCTTCGCGGGCAGGTGCTCGACGACGAAAATGCGAGTCGACCGGAAGCGCGGTGTGTGTTGACGAACGATTGCATGTTAATTAATGACGCTCACGATACACGCGTCGTATATATTGCGCCTGCCTCGAACCTATCCATATGATAAACAGTTTGATAATTCAGCGATACGAAGGCGCGCGAATACCTCGATTGCTCGTGTTCACCATAGACTTCTTACATATCAACTAGACTGAGAACTTCCATTGGTTTTCATGTGTAAAAAAAAAGGAAATATCAAATATTGAATAAATATTAACATTTTCCGGATTAAAAATAAATAAAAATAAAGATAAAAATTAATATTAACATTTAAGATAAAAATAAATATTAACATTTAAAATACAAATAAATATTAACATTTTCCGGAGTAAAAATGTCCCTGTACGGTGTAGTTACGTTTCTTTCGGCACCTTGCAGCGCCGCGCATGCGCGAAATTTTAATACTTTGAGGCGACGTTAAAGAGACTAGTTATCGGTCCAGTGTATAACATAGTCTATGGCGTTTACTCAACCGCGTCGTTTTTTCATCGTCATCTTGTCCCTTTCGAAAGAAGCGATTGTTTTGGTGCGCGGTCGTGCACGTCATTAGATCCCGCGCCGACAAGGAAAGCACGCGTGGCCGAACCACACCTCATTGTTTACGATCACGGCCGACGTTTGGTCGTCCATTCGGCGTATCGGCGTTGCGACAATTAACACGCGCTCCTCCGGTCGAATCGAATCTGTCGCGCTTGTTTGCGCGCCGGCGAGTGTCCTGCGCGACGAAGCAGCCAGGAGCAGAATGCTGGACAGGACTTGCGAAGCAAGACGCAGGCGGCAGGTTAGCACGTGTTACCAGGTGTGTGAAATTACAGCTCGTAGCTTTCTCGTTTTTAACGAACACGTTTGGCCGACGCGCTCGAGTCGTTAGATTCATAATTAGCGGCCACTCCGTAACCTATCGATGCTCCGGCGCGGCGGGGCGGGGGGGGGGGAGGGGAAATCTCTCGGTTTCGAGTATCTCTGTGCGAAAGAGAGAAAGAGAGGACGGAGAGATTATTTATGGACTTGCGTCTCCGTTTCATCATAACTCAAACATCTCAGGTTACGAGAGCCGTGGATCTTTCCAGACATATCGAGCGCGTCTTTGGCGCGCATCATAGGCGCGAGTAAAGGCTGGAATAAATCGCGTCGCGAGCGCATATTTCACGAAGGCTCGCTTGGCTCGCCATCGCATGTACTCGTTTCTCGAGGTACGTACCGACGCGAATGTAATACGTATTAACGGACGAACGAGGGGACCGAAAAACGCACTCTCGAAGCGGCGCGGACGGAAACGAGCGCGAGATAGCGCGCCGCGTTAATTGCCTGTTTGTTGATGTTCCGGCCGTCTACCGCAAGTCTAGATTTGGTCAAGGTTGCTTGCTTCTTCGCTTCTCAGGAACGAATTCGCTAATGAGTCGCGGGCCGCACAAGAATAATTAGGCCTGTTCGTTTTGTCTGCACTGCTGAACTGATGCATTGTTGCAAGTTGAAGTGAGTGACAAACGTCTAGGTTTTGTCACTTCAACTTGTTGTTGCACCAGCGGTTTCAGCGGTGCAGACAAAACGAACAGGCCTATTACGAATACCGCACGACCAGTGCGGTAAAGTGACGATCGTCAAAAGCGATTCGCCAAGTGACGTAGTCCTTACCGTCATCATGGCTGATTTCCAGTCAGCCGGCATCAGCAAGCCGGTTCTTTTGTGAGAAATTGCCCCAACGGAATATTCGTGGCGCGTACTCGCCAAGTCAAATATTCCTCGGGAGTAGAGATCGCACTCGTCGATATGCGAGAACGGCTCTGCTTCGCTCGACGAAGTGTTTCGCGATTGCTCGGCAATATGCATCAAGATATATCCGTCTCTGCAGCGCGTAACGCCAGGCCAGGTGTGTACGCGCGGCGTAATGGCCGCGTTCGCACACGCGGTGCGTAGGTGCGTATATAAGTATCGACACGCGCGGACATCGAGACCGGCGCTTAGGGGCTTTGCGGATTTGCATTCTGCGCCGGCGAAGGCGCCGGCGCGGGTCGGCGGAGATCGCCGTACGTGGGTTGCCGCGTTGGACTCGCGTTGGAAAGGTGGAGATATCGGTAACGGCGAACGTAGCGGACGAACGCGTCGTTCCGAGACTCGAAAAAGCGCGAACGAATTCTCGCGAGACGAAATTGGAATTTTGAGAAAAAAAGATGTATACACGCAAAATATCGTGTGCATTTTGCGATGCTACGTGAAAAAATACAATCGTGTTGGTGCCATTGAATATTTTTAAGGGGAAAGATCCTTATGGAAGGGATTTTCTGATTAGTTATTTGTTTGTTTGTTTTTTTTTATACAGTTGAATGTTGGTAGATGAATTTTTTTTCAGTCGCGATTGGACAGAGAGATCACGTTCCTCGTCATTGAATTTTCGTCCAGTCTTTCTATTCGCGTTAACTGAGACATTTTTCCGTACGCGGAAACAAAGTTTATTATGTAAACAGAAAAATATCGATGACGTCTGTCGAAATATTATTTAATGATAGATTTAATTTGATAATAAATCGTGGAAAGCGAACGTTGCGCAAAATTTGCGATACTTTGTATTTATACGGATTACGTGGAAATCCGACGACGCTTTTAGAACACTCACTCTTAATTATGCTTTATGTATATGTTTATTTTATGTAATAGATGAAGAAACGATCGCACGTGTCTTATAATTAAAGAGGAAAAAGAGGAAATTTTTATTTACGTTTCCTCAGGCAAACAGCACTAGAAATAGAGCTTGGAAGAGTGTACAGTCGAAGTTCGGATTTTTTTCCCGGCTTATCGCGATATCGCTTTATCGTACGCTTTCACGACCGATTCTTCGCCCGTTGGAATTTCTGCCGACGTAATTTCGCTCTTATCGCGCGAATCCCGATACGACACAATACACGCTTTATCGCACATCGAGGATTTCCACGTGAGAAAACGTGGAAAAACCTCGGCTATCGTTAAAGGGACGCCCGTTATCGCGACGCGACAACCGCGAGACTTTAATCGCGTGGCAAACAACGAGAACGGTCACATCGAAGTCCAGGTCAGGAGCAGGTGCTAATTTTAAACCCCGCTGTGCTTCATTACGCAAGTTCTTTTATCATGGATCAATGCATGCGTTGCGATTTCCTTTTATCGCGCGTTCGTTCCCGCAAGGGCGTGGTTGAACGTGATCAATTAGCGCTCCCCGCCAAGTTCGAGCGCGCACCATATGATTTCAATCTGTCCGTCGCGAATGACTGCTCCGACGAGGCGAAATAGCCGTCGCGTTGAGTCCGCGAAATACGTTCAACCCGTAAGAATCGAACATTGGCGAGTTTTCGCCTCTTTCGTCTCTCAGATACGGTATAAACGCAAAAAATTCGTGAATGCTATCGGTCGCGCACATTGCGACGTTATTTCTGAGGGAATAACGTTTACGACTTACATTTACCGTCTCTCAGATACGGTAAACGCAAAATCGTGAATACTATATCGGTCGCGCACATTGCGACGTTATTTCTGAGCGAATAACGTTCACGATTTACATTTACCGTATTTGAGAGGCGGTGTTGTAAAAACTCCCCGTTATCTCTCGTCGGCGTGGTGAGCATCGCGTTAACGTTCGCGATCTTACGTTATGAGCGTCTGCGCGATACGCGCGCAAATGACGCATGAAATGGTTGAAGATTTTGATTAAAAATTATTGCACGCTTTGTCGCCAGAGTAAAAATCGCGTCTCTTAAACTCGTGTCATTTCCATGTACAGTCGAGTGTCTCTCGATCTCTTGTCGATCTCTCTCGCGAGAGCACTTCGCCCCTTCGCGACGTTTTATCGTCCATCGGTCGTGTTGCATAACGTGGCCAAAGTTTCCTCGTAATTCGACTTTTTCCGCGAAAAGGCGTGTATTGTAAGGCAAGTGGCGCATAGTGGCGAGGATGACATTAACACCTGTTGCGCCTTAAAGACTTGTTGCTTTGCGCCCATTCCTTTCACCTATCGCTTTGCTTTTGCATTTCAAACTCGTTCTGGGAAAGAGAGGTCGATCTTAATGTCGGCCTTGTTCGCCGTTCTCGCTGAACTGAAAATCTCGCGCTTCAACTTCCGACAGGAACCCAAGCCCGACTTCATTCGATTCTCTGAAAGACAAATGTGAAAAAAGTCACTTGGTGATGATGCTAACAGACGTGTGATTGCTTCTGAATTACAAAAGTAACAGATTCTCTCTCTCTCTCTCTCTCTCTCTCTCTCTCTCTCTCTTTTATATACATATCTCGATATCGTCTGCATTCTCTGGATAAGACGAGCGCAAACGGTATGCACAGCGCGAGAATTAGCGCGACGTTTATACAGTCTCGCGATTAGCAGCGAGTTAATCGCCTAACTATGTGTGTGTGTACCGAGCGTCTGCGTTACTGCGTAATCGCGACGACGATAGAGAGAGAGAGAGAGAGAGAGAGAGAGAGAGAGAGAGAGAGAGAGAGAGAGAGAGAAGGAGAGAGAGAGAGAGAGAGAGAAAGAGAGAGTGGTCACCCTACGTACGAGCACATTGTGCGTTCGCGCGAACGCGTGCTACACACGTACACACACGCACACGATATCGTCCGTTTATCATCGGAGACCGATTTGTTTTCCCGAGCGCTTCGCATCGAGGTCGAGATACTCGAGACGAGTCTTCGGAGCCACCCGGTACATGCCGAGAGAGATCTCAGCGGTCAGCCTGCTATTATAAGAAAATGTCAAAACTGGTAGCTGGTAGGATGAGCTCGCGATGCAGAAACTATCAGCTCGTGTGTCTGCATGTGTTCGCGTGTGCATATACGAAGGGAAGGTCACGCACGAATTGTCGCCTTCCCGCGAGATAATCGCGGATAACGATCGGCCGATTATTCATCGATACGTGTCCCGCGTAAAAGAGCAGCGCGCGCGCTCGGCGAGGCCCTCCATTATCCTTGTCCGCGCTTGCGAATCCCGCTCCGGTCTGCGCGACGGTCACCGATAATGCCAATGGGCCTGAAAATAGCTCCTCGTCACGGCTTAGTGACGGCGGCATCCACGGGGCCCGTCCGCTCGCGGATACTACTTCTGCCCATCTCCTGCCAGCCGCACGCCACGTCGTCCCGTGCGAGAATAATAGCGCGGGATTCACCGCATCGCGGAGACGCGGTTACGCGATACATTCTCTCTCTCTCTCTCTCTCTCTCTCTCTCTCTCTCTCTCTCTGGGGGATCTGAATTTATTTTACAATTTATTTTACTATTTTGCAATTTCGCTTCTGTAGCAGCGCACGCGCGTCTGGTTGCGCAAACTGAACTCCTTTTTTTTCTTTTTTTTCACGTATCATTGCTGTTCGAAAATATTATACAGAGTGGAACTTTGCGCACACCGCCGCCGCCGTCGCCTCGCGCGCAGAGTCGGGCCACCGGCGGGTCAATTGGAAGTTTTATGGTTTAGGCATTGAAGGAAAACGGCGCATACGCCATCCGTCACTGTCATTCGCGCGGATATTCTCGCAGCCTCTTGGTCCGTGTGAATGGCCACGTGTGTGAGCGCACATGTGAATGTAGCTTTAAGAGAGAGAGAGAGAGAGAGAGAGAGAGAGAGAGAGAGAGAGAGAGAGAGAGGTATATACCGCGAATCGGTAAACACGGTTGATCAATTATACGACGATTACGAAACTGCGAATTATCTTTTCCTCCGCTCAGCCAGTATGCGATTTTTATACGCTCGTGCGTCATTGAAGCCTGCGTTTTCATTTGCAACCCTTGGAGGAAAAATTCCAGGCGTGTGAGCTCGCGACACGCGAAGCGCAGCGCGCATTTACCGACACGAATAAACGCAATTTCATTAAGTATGTGTACTATTAATAACGTAAACGAGCGTTAAGAAGCTCGACTATTTGTCGATAAGAAATGCAATGCACGACGTGCACGTACGTTTCACGGCCTCGCTCGAGCGCCGGTCGCGGGTCGACGTCGTCGTCTCTTCCGGCAGCAACAGCGGCGGCGACAGCAACCCGCGGGTGCGTTCGCTGATTAATAATTAGGAGAGGTTTATTTAATTTCCTACTCGCCGTCTCGGGATTATTGCGGCTAATGTGTCCGTCAAGTTCGCTTTAAGTGGCGCGCAGACCATATCGGCACTAACGTTCCGCTGATTTACCGCTCATAAAGTTTGGGAGGTGCTATTTTCGCCTCCTCCCACTTGCCGCCGCGGACGAGAGAGACCGCGAGCGCTGCGAGAAACGGCCGCTTGTAAGTAAGGAGACTACACATTTCTTCCATACGCATCTCCAGCTGCCGTGGCAATTGCTACGGCCTAGGGAGAGCAGCAGGAGAGGAGAAGAGGCCCTCCGGCCCACTTGCTCGACTCGACTCGACTCGACTCGACTCGACTCGTTGCACTCGGGTCGAGTGTTGAAACCAGTCGAGTGACGTCACATATAATTACTTCTTTGATTCACTCTCTTTCTCTTTCTCTTGTTCGCGGTATGCCCCCGGCACGACGAATTCTCGTCGTTCTCGGTCAGTGACGTGACGACAAGAGCTGCGGGCTCCTCTGCTATGATCGCTGCGACTTGTTTCGTTGTTTGTCGCGAGCGGAGAAGTCATATCCGTTCAACGCTCGTCTCACTTTCGCCTCCGCAATGGGTCACACTCTTCTGGCGTGTCTCGGAATCTGGAAAGACTGAAGCTTCGTCGTTGCGCTGGGATTTATTCCATTTAGATGCATCGTTTCCTTACGGTCTTATTGTAGATAGACTCGATGACAAACAGCAGAATTTAGGAAGGAGGAGCTTTTTTTATCGCGGCCTGTCGGTGTTCCATTAGTATTCTGCGAAAGAAAAATGGCAGATTCAATGTATACCGAGTAGAGAATCCGGACGATTAAAGAAGATGCAATTATTTCATAAACACGAGTCGCGTGCTGATAAAGAATATCGCACACAGCCGCGGGCTGCGATATAAATTTACTGTCGCGCTCGCGGCGCAATTATGCGTCTAACTTACGCGTATCTAGTTCCTCGCGCGATTCTCCCGCCGCGACGATCCGTCTGTCAAATTCCGTTTCGTTTCTCTCGTCTGGTAGGTTTTTAATTAAACAGGTGTTACTCGTAAAACGCCATCGAGTCGTCGCGAAGTTACGCTACTGACGTTGCGAATTTGTCCCCCCTCTCCCCCCTTCTCTCTCTCTCACCCCCTTCTCTCTCTCTCACCCCCTTCTCTCTCTCTCTCTCTCTCTCTCTCTCTCTCTCTCTCTCTCTGTTTGTCTGTCTCTCTCTCCCCCCCTCTCTTTCTCTCTCTCTCTCTCTCGCGTCCCCGCTTCCCTCCTGCTGCCCCTCTTTCCATTCTGGCTCTTTACCCGCCGTCCCTCCCGCGCTTATCTCGGCGTGGTTAAAAATAGACCCTGTCACGGCCATCGGCGACATTTTAAAAAGCTGAAGCCGAGCAGCACGCACGAGAGGGCGAGTGAGCGAACGGCCGAGACACGAACGAGTGAATTAGCGCCTCCGCAAGATCCGCAAGCGGCGAGCGAGCGATCTCGGCTGGTGGCGCCTCCTCGAAACGCCGTTCCGTCTCTCTGTTTCTCTCTTTCTCTCTCTCTCTCTCTCTCTCCCTCTCTCTCTCTCTCCCTCTCTCTCTCTCCCTCTCTCTCTCTCTCTCCCCGCTCGATTCCTCCGCGTCGCCGATATTCCACCTGTTCCTCGAGAGCCGTTTTCCGTCGCCACTCGGTCGGTATGTCCGTCGAGCTATTTTGCTAGGAGTAGGAACGCGGATGACTGACCTTTGGTAGACGCGAAAAAAAGAATGTAAGGTTAGAAAAGGATCCTGCGAGTTTGAATTAACGAGGGACTTACTTCGACGAGAATAGTTCCGATGGCTCGATTGACACAGAAATATGCGCGAAAAGTAGGTAGATATGTAACGCAGGTATGCATGCGTGCGTAATGTATGGAAATTGTATGAATAATTCGTAGAATGTAGTTATTGATGAATTCTGAATTTTGCACTTTGTGTGTACTTTTCCGTTTAAAGTCGGACACTTTCCATCGGCGCGAAGATAGCGATATTCGTGTCGCGTCACATCGATTAAAATTAAAATATCCAAGAACTCTTTCTTTTTCCATTACAATATGTTGACGCTCACTGCTTAACTTTGCGTTCAATATGTACCTTCACGTGAAATATGGACGCTATTCTTCATCTTTCGCCAAAAATTTCAAATATATACCTGCTCTTTCCGAGTGCAAAGAGTGCCGTTGTATACAAAACCCGATGTATCGATCTATCTATGCTCGATTCGATTTGCCTTCGATCCGGAAGTGGCCAACTTCGAGCGGAACTGAAGAACGCCATGTCTCTTCGCACGAATTCGCCGAGAAGAATGCAAACGGGAGAATGTGGTTAGAGTATTGTGACAAAACGGCGGGGAAAACGTCGCGAGACGCGACGCCGTGTCCTCATGGGCGACGATGGTCGCAGATGGACGAAAGGACGCAGAGGCGGAAATGGCGCAGAGCGAGACCCGATTCGAGGTACGACAATCAGATCTCTCGAGAGCGTCGAACCCGCGGTTAGATAACGAGCTGAACCTTGCGCGTCCATGAGACGTTTGCGTTAATCATTGCGATCGTTGGAGACAACATTACGGAAATAGCCGTCGCTTTCGTCATCTGCTGGATCTTATCGACGAATTGATTCGATGGCGTTGAACGGCTACGAATGCGTCGAACGGATTTAACGCTCAGACCGCGTCTCTCCCCCTTCCTCTTCCCCTCTTTCTCTTTCGGGGTCGTCGTCGTCGTCGTTGTCGTCGTCGTCGTCGTCGTCGTCGTCGTCGTCGTCGTCGTCGACGACCATCGCGTGCTTCGAGTTTAACCCTTTAACGTCCGACTTTTTTACAAGTGTTTTAAGAATAAAATTTGAGTTTTTTTGAAGTGAGACTATAAGTAGTGATAACCAAAAAAAATATCAGAATTTTATATTGGTTTTTTTATCATTCGTTTTTTTTTGTTTATTGGTAAATATGACTTGGATCCTAAAAGCATATACGAAATGAGCAACCTATACGGAGAAAAATGAAGAGTAATCTATACGACATAACTCTGATAGTCAGCTTGACATTTTTCAGCTGAAACTTTACTATATTTATGAGTGAAGTTTATCATTCAAAGCGTCAAGCTTACTATTTCAGGAGAATATCTTATAGATCACCATTTAGATAGTCAATCGTCCCTTCATTTTTCGCCGCATAAAAAGCGCTGTAGGTCACCAGGTTTCACGAAAATAGCTTGATTTCTTGATTTTCGTGTCCACCATATTGGATTCGCCATTTTGAATTTCTGTATTCTTTTAATCTCACATTTTGCATCTGAGAAAGCTTCCAAATGTATAAAATTATAACAGATACCAATCTGTTCATTTATAGTGCACTTCTAGGTGTCAGTAACAATGCCTAACTATGCCTCGTACTTGGAATTTGACCAAACATGTTATCATTAAAACTGAGCTAAAAACAGACTAAAACGAATCTACATACAATCTATATGCCACTTTTTAGAAGAAAAATTCACCTTACAGTGGTGCAAAGAAAACGAAAATATCTCCTTTTTTCACTAAGTTATGGATTCTTAAATGCGTTTCTGTACTGGTAACTATAGTTACCAGTAGGCGTTAAAGGGTTAAGCCGCCACGAATCGGACACGACACTCTCTCTCTCTCTCTCTCTCTCTCTCTCTCTCTCTCTCTCTCTCGTCAGTTTACTTAATATCTATTCTTGCCGCGTTGGTTTCCTCGCGACGGATATGACGCACGTGCGACTCCCTCCAATCGTTCCTTAGACTATATCTCTGTAGCTGTAAAGTGGTTGGACCTCTTTTTCTACCACCGCTACATTTCTACTTTTTCTAGAATCGCTACATTTTTTTCCTTCTTGACGCGTAAAGATTATCTTCTTGCAAGAAACGTATTTATGTTGTGAATGCGAGCGGTGATTGAGCTTTACTGGATTCAGCGTTAAAGACGTTAAATGGTAATGTGAGATAAACGTAGGAAAAATTATAATTTCGCAGGCAATTATGGACTTCAGTTTATTGATGCGCATTAGTGAAAATTTGACGCTCGCAGTTCGCGCGAGGAAAGACGAGTGACGAGTCAGAGCCTCGACGATGCAAACGGACGACGTCTGTGCGGTCTTTTCGTGGAGCAGTCAGGGTATTTCGTGCGAGTCATTCAACCAGCTAGAAACCATCGGTTGGTGCTCCCGACAATTGAGATTGGCTTGGCATTCCGACCGGCATGGCCGCGCGAGAGATCATCGCGGAATTCACATCTGGCAGTGAGGCTGCGGCTGGAAATGACACAACAGTGCAGTCTGTTGTGTATCAACGCTAACGATCTGGCCTCGCAGATAAGCACCTGTCTTCCGCACGCGATTCGCATTCCTACGCAGATTTTCCATCTATGCGTTTGATAAAATGCACTCACATCACATATGTCTCGCTCGTTTGCTCGTTTTATATATTTGCGAAGCACACTCGGCCGGCGGGCGACGCGATTTGTTTCCGTCTCATTTGCAACGGAGTCATTTCTCCTCGTAATCGAGGAGTGAGAGCTTTCCTAGCTTCTCCGTTGCATAATTCATAATCCGCGGAAGTATGCGTTTATACTCAATGTTATCATACATTATTTACGAATGTCAACCCCAATAAGCGATATTCCAAGTTGTGGCGGGCCGTGTCAGATTGTCGTCTCTTTTGCTGTCTCTCTCACAAAGCGCTCCTATCATTGCAAAAAGAATCGCGGACGGTCGCTTGAGAAAGTTACGTGAGTCCTCGTGGCTAAGGATGCCCACGTAAGGATTTCGCGCGCGCACGCGCGCGATATGCGTAGAAAAGCGATTGCGAAACAGAAACGCGCGATGGTTCTCGACGAGATTCGGCATACGCGACTTCAATAATTCAAGCGTCCCATAATGGACTCGACGCGAGAGACATCGGGGCTTAAGCCTGTCTCACACGGTCCCGCATCATCGCCGTGACAAATCCCGACAGAGATTTTCGTCACTCGTTCACGACGTGTAACGTCGTGAAAAATATATAATATGGCGTTTCGGATCAAGTCGGAATTTCAATCAGATGTAAGTTTAAACTTACTGAATTTCAAACAATTGTGTCGCGTCGTTTCTTTCCAATTTATGCATCGTATGCTGGCGGCCTTTACAGACGTGTGACCCCGCGATCGTAGGAAAGTCCAGGCTTTGAAAGTGAGGCAAGGCCTCGTCAATCGTGCACGTGTATCTTTGTTACAGATAGGCGTTGACGACGAGAGAGAGAGAGAGAGAGAGAGAGAGAGAGAGAGAGAGACGGAGAAAGAGAAAGAGAGAAATAAGATAATTACGTTTTTTAATAACCGCGCCTCTCAAAATAATGAAGTAGTGAAATTCATAACCGCCTTATCTTTCTCGCTCCTTCATCGAGCTCGGGAACCACAAACTCTTGTTGACTCGTTCCTTTGACTCGAGGTAGACTTTTAACGCGAATTATCGCGAAATCCAACAAATGTCACGAGATCTGCGTGTATTTGCGCAACGGACAAACGCGACTCCGCGGCAGTGATTTTCTCCTCTTTTTTCGACGTTTCACAACGCTCTCTCTCTCTCTCTCTCTCTCTCTCTCTCTCTCTCTCTCTCTCTCGCAATTTGCGCCGATGAAATACACAATAGGCATGTCGTCATTCGTTATCCAACGAGCTGCTCGATAAGCGCGATGAGCGGCACGCGCTGCGGGCTAAATTCGAATTTACGCGGGAGCGCACGTGAATCACGCCGTAGACGCTCGTAGACGGGATCAACATTTGCCTAACGATCTCCTGCGATCCACGCGGACGTGCGTTTATTTATCGCGCTCGTAAATCTGAGGACAGTCCCGGAATCGACAGTTATCGGCTCGCCGGGAAAGTGATTCCGCAATCTGCCTTGCCATAACGCGCGATTTATTTGCGTGTTTGGCGATAAACGCGCGAGATTGTAAATTAGGAGCGGCTGGACAGAGCGTGATTCACAGCCGGGAACAGTTGCGTACGAACGGGAATTCTATCGCGCCGCTAAGAACTTGCCCGCTGCTTTTTCCTCGCGCTTTCCTCGCGTCCGCGCTGAACTGTTTTTCTTTTTTCTCTCTTCCGCGAGATGGTCGTCGCGACGTGCCAAAGTCAAGGGAGCCGTCAGGACTGCTAGCCGGTTAAAGGCCGGTTTCGTATGTAGGGCGCATCGACATGCGAGAGACATAAATCGCTCGGGGCACTCGCTGACGCAAAGCAGACTGACAAAACGTGCCTACTCGCGCGATCAGTGGCGTAGCAGCTCGGAAATGCTCGCTTTCGCTCGTAGAAAATAACCCATTAATTTACAGATTCAATCGCGACCCGAACGCGCATGTCCCTGTTAATCAGAGCGCGAAAATACGACGCGAATTTTCCAGATTTTCCGGACGATTCGACGGAACTCGCGAGGCTCTCTCGCGGGGTTAAAATAAAATTTCCGAGTTTTTCCGAACCGGCGACGAGACGTCTACAAATTCGTTCAGATTTTACTTACGACACTGTCGATACTCAACAGTAGTGGTAATCTCAAGTATTATCGGATAGATCGTTACATGCGTACACACGTACGCGCGTACCGTGGTGGGCAATCGGTCGTGCGTAGCGTTCGGAGGGCCAAAATGTTCGGTGAAAGGAGAGAGAGAGAGACCATTTTTTAATTGGCTGCCAAGGCGACCTCGTGGAGGCGGTGGCGCGGCGGGAGTATGCGCGCTTCGAGGAAGCCGCAAGTCGCGATTAAAACGTAAAAATAGCCGGTCCGCGTACTATACGATCGTTAGTCGTTGCCGTCCTATACGCGAACTCGGAGCCGGCGGCTCTTCTGCGTGCCTCGTGTACGTGCGTAGTCCTCTTTGTGGTCCTCTCCTCTTTGCTTATCGATCAGTTGAGTCGTGTCACTTCGGGGTATCGGTTCGCGCCGTCTCCCAGTTTCCCGCAGTATCGATCGTGGGTTGTTGTAAATTCGACCTTTCAACTCTCGAAAGATCGAGACCGTCGTGAGTTCCGGTGAGTTCGAACATCTCCTCGATGCTGCGGACACAAAATTAATCCCCGTGCTTGCCCGCGACAAGTGGTAACTTAACGCGACGATCGATGTAAGATCCTCTTTCGCAAAAACTTCGTCATCGTGAATTGAACTCGGCGAAAATCGCGCACCGATCGCAGTTTCTGTTCAATGCGTCCGAAGCGTTCGAATCGCCGACGTCATTGAAAGTCGACGTTGAACTCGCGATTTTTTTCTCGGGATACTCCCGCGAACGAAAACGGGAATTCACGAAGGTTTTTAATTAATTAATATGGAATTAATGGAGCATCGTGAACTTTTAACGTTCGGCATTTAGCGAGGGAATTGCGTTCGATCGAGTCGGCATAACTTTGGCATTTCGCAGAGTCTCTCCTTCGCTCGTGCTATTTTTCAACGTTTGCGCCTTCGGATTTTTTTCTCGATACGGTTGATATAACCACGGATCGGTCAGTTGATGCCGATCTTTCTCGTCGAGCGCCGTCGCGATGCTGTAGATCAATGGCTTGATTAAAACAGATTGAGCGAGGTGCTGCTGATAGTCTGCTCCAAATTGAGCAACGTTTGATAAAGTCTCGAAAAGACTACGGAGTGTGAGAGAGCGTTTAATAAACTGGCAATAACGGTCTGCGCACGTACGTAATCAATGTCTTGTTTTCGGAGTACCGACAGGACAGTTTCCGGCAGTTTAGCCCGTTCGTGCGATGATTCGACAAATGAGAAAACAATTGCGAAGACAGTCGCGAGTTGAATTAACACTTATCATTTGGAAACGTCACGTTAGCGTCACATAGATCGCTTTGATTGAAGCAGATTGGTCGTAAGGATGAATACTTGCTCCTGAGTATCCTCTCTTTTATTGGTTTTTTATTACTACACCAACTCCGTCGGCAATTTTGTGTATGTTCACAGTATACAGGATCGATCGTCAATTCGAAAGAGACAGATTATGAGATCTTTTTTCAATCTAAAGTACACGATTGTCACTACTTTTGCATTTCGGTCTGAATTTTTACTCTGAGCAAGTATATTAAATCATCGCGTTACATTGGACAAAAAACACGGAAAATACTGAGAATATCAGTATTTCTTTTGAATCGGCAAAATCGGTAAACACATCGCATTAAATATAGTCTCATATTCCGGATAACGTATCGTCGAATGATTATCTACGCGGAAGTTTTTTTGTAGGTCGCGTTAAATTATTAATTGGCTTGCGTTAGACTCGCGCGAACTATCGCAATCGTTCCAACAGACGATCGTCTAGTCTGATTACAAACAGATGGAAAATTCAGTGAGTACATTGCAAACTCGAGTGTGTTATTTTGACGCGTATAAGCTGAAGCTTTCTTTACGCGTATCTTGTCGTGTTAAATCACGTCGTTTAAACGCGTTTAAACGCGTTAAGTGATATCCGAAATCGAAAGTGATGCATCAAATCACGTGATTTTGAGACAACCGCGTTCAAAGAAGAAACGCGTGAAGAAAGCTTCAGCTTATATGTGTTAAAATAACACACTCGGGTTTGCAGTGTATTTTTTATCCGTGCAACGCGATTGTGCACAACGTGGTCGGAGAGTTTGTGTCTGTTATTTCAGGGATATTTTTTCTTTCCAAAAAGTGCGCTGCTTCTTGTCACCTTCCGGGGAGGCCCATCCGGGAAACTTCTAACTTCTTATGTAACCGGTGCTTCGTCTTATTATCGAGGAAGCAAATATATCCCCCACTGGCTTTTGGTATCGTCCCCAACGACGTTCGACAGGGGCTCAAACTTCGCGTTCAATTTTCCCCGTCTATTAATACTCGCGACGAAGTTACAAATTGTATAAAACGTACCTCATCGTGTTCGTTTTGTGCGACGAGGTTCCGACGTCCAAGTGAAATCTAACTATAGATTCCTCAGCTTCAGAATCAGAGAATCGCTCGTTTATTAATAACTGATCATTAACACAACGCGCCGCGTCGGTAAATGAAAAAAAAAATTATGCTCCTGGCGAGTACACACAATTCTCTGTGACAAATAAGCCGTAAGACCAGTTCGAGTGCTCATGATGCGCGTATGATTAATACTGACTGACAGTGTTGTTATTCAACGATGGCTCCATTGGCAAACGAAAGTGCAGCGTGATATCATCGTCGTCATTGTCGTCGTCTCGTCCTCTTCGTCGTCTTCGTCGTCCTCGTGCATGGGTCGCGAGATCGCGTGCGCGCTACGTTGTTGAAGAGTGTCCCACGAAATTGGCGTGCTGAGAACGAGGAGAATGGATTCGATACGCGACCTCAAGAGATTGCTGTACGAACGGACGGAAGCGTTGCGACGTCGCGACGAGACCGTCGAGGCACTCGAGCGAGCACTCGAGGAGCGCGACGTCCTGATCTGCTACCTTCAGAAGGAGATCGACAGGTTCCGGCAGATCGTCGTCGATCAGAGCTTGGCGTCCGACAACATCGGTGCCAGTCAGAGATCGAAGCGGCAGGCGATATCGGCGGAACCGCTACCCCTGCGAAGCGACGCGAAACCGGTGGTGAAGTTTACCAAGACGCAAAGGTAGAGATGGCTGATGATGATGATGATGTCTCGGTTGTGTCTCGCGTGGCTTTTCGTTGTCCATTTTCTTTCATTCTCGACTCTGGTTTCTCTCTTCTTGCTGAACTCCCCCGACGAGAATCTCGTTTGCTCCATCTTTGATTATTTTCGTTGTTGTACGCGTCAATCGGACAAGTTGTTTTCGAATTGATGATTGGTTTGCATTTGGTAGACGGATAAGTCCGAGAGCGAGCGAGAGAGAGAGAGAGAGAGAGAGAGAGAGAGAGATGTATATTTGTTGTAACACACAAGTGAGATTTACTGGCACGATTCTGAAATAAAATTAAACGAAGTACATAGCGTCGTAGAAGTGATAAGAAACGAATCGAAAGTTTCAAAAAACGTGCGCTACAAACGAACGGCCATTTTATCGGTATTGATAAATGCAACTGGAGCAGCACGACATCAGCAATCAGACTTAAATCATATGATGTCGATGCGCTCATTAATGCTAGAGCAAGGTCAATTAAGGTATTTTTCTCTCATTGGAAGCGGTAATTGCGCGCATGAATGATCTCATAGTTATAAACGGGATTTAATTAACAACAAGCATTGGAGAAAATATGAATTTTTTCGTGTACTTAGTGCTTTCTATGAGAAAAAAAGAACTTAACCGAAAGAGCGAAAATTTTGCGAAATCGTATTATTACTTTACAACAAATATGTCATAACGATGTGAAATCTTTTTTTATTTCTCGACAATTCCACATCTATTTCAGTTCCGGAAATTGCATCTCCTCTCCCTGTTATGTTTATCAATTATATTCTATGTAGAAATATCATTTTTTTTTTTTTTTTTTTTAGCACAGCGAAAAGTGAGAAACTTGACGAGATCCTTCTTTTGTTTCAAGGTCCCGCGAATTGATCAAGGCTGCCATATTGGACAACGACTTCATGAAAAATCTGGAACGTACGCAGATCCGGGAGATCGTCGATTGCATGCACCCCGTTACGTTTCCGGCTGGCTCGGTAATCATAAAAGAGGGCGATGTCGGATCCACTGTTTTCGTTATGGAGGGTGAGTAAATGTAGTTTATGAGATAAAATGATTTTTCGCTTAGGGGAGATTCGTAAAGCACCTCAAATCACTTGGGAAGTTAATGAAACGATAAATAAAAGATTACGACGCGCGACAGAAGAAAGTTCTATATGTGTTTAAATATTTACTTCTTAAATATCCTCTCACGTTTTGTGAGATTCGCCTAATTAAAATCACGAAAATAATCTCGATCGTTTCCACATTGGACGAAGTGACGAGCTAATGACGAGTTTAGATGAACTTTGAAGCATCTAATGACATACAGAAATATAACGCGCTTGTGCAAATATGTTTCTCACACATTTTTATTACGTAAATGATATTTACAATTATTCTACGAAATGTATAAATTTGTGCACTTAATTATTTAATCTGTTTAATCTATGTTTTTGTATCCTGTCGCTGCATTGAAAATGAGTTTACGTAAACGCTATTATATCTGATTGCTTCAATACGAGGATCTCCTTCCTCGGGACTCGATTTCCTCCAGACAAAGTATCGCATCGATGTTATTTCATAATAAACGGCGTGTCAGTCATTTTTTATTTTCATGGAAAAACACGACGCTCGTCGTTTCTCTCCTACCTCGGTCCGATTATTAATGTTATCACTCGTCCGTGTCGTCCCGATCGCATAATCGAACGGTAACGTACACGTATTTGCTGATGTGCGAAATAGATTCTTTGTCATGGCATTCTTATATGATATTAAGATAATCAGAACCTCGGTAATAATTACAATCTGAGAAAATTTGAAAATTAGATTTAAGTTATCGCTTATATATTGTCAGCTATCTTGACCGATTATGCACACATACACGCATCTAGAATTCAAATACCTAAAAGCGAGACTCGTGTTCGATCGAAATTCATCAAGAAAGTGACAATGAATTACCGAAAAATGCGAAGTTAGCGCATCGTTCCGTCGCCAGTAAAAAAGATCAAGCAATAGCAAAGATGTGACGCTATCATATCTGCGTTATGCTATTTTTATTATTGAGCCATTTGCTCAGTAGAGAGAGAGAGAGAGAGAGAGAGAGAGAGAGAGAGAGAGAGAGAGAGAGAGAGAGAGAGAGAGAGAGAGAGAGAGAGAGAGAGAGAGAGAGAGAGAGAGACCCTTTTAAATCAATATTATCTTTCGCTACCGTGGCGAAGAGGTTTTTATCTTCGACTCTTCACACTCCTCTTCCCGCTAAAGTAGTTAACAGGATCTCGTTATGAATTCGGTGTCGCGGGTCTCCGTGGGGGCAAAGACACCGCAGTTTCCCTCATGTTCGCGTAGGTGAGTAAGTGCGATGCGGGGGCGAGAATGGCGAATTGAGAACCGCTGTCCTTTCTCTCACGAGCCGCGACCGACTCATGGTGGGGACTCCCGCGTCTCGTCGAGGGAAGGGAGTTCTCGTGGTGCTGTTCGCCGCTCACGGGCATACTTTTCACCAGTCGTGAACGCTGTCAGTGAGCGTCAGTCGCGACGCGGAGGCTCGTGACCGCGGTGTCCTCCTTCGGCAGGACCTTCTTCAGGACCGCGACTGGAAGGCACGTCTGCGACGACGACTCCTACGCGACGCTGCTCTGCGCGATTGCGATCGATCGATCTTTTTCGTTCACTCGTTTGTTCTTTCACGAAGAAGAGAGGAAGAGAGAGGGAGGGAGGGAGAAAGAGAGAGAGAGAGAGAGAGAGAGAGATAGAGAGAGAGAGAGAGAGAGAGAGAGAGAGAGAGAGAGAGAGAGAGAGAGAGAACCAGAGTCCTTTCGCCAAAGTAGTCATCAGGATTCATCAAGGACCTCGATCGACCTGGAGAACATACGATCCCGATATTTTGTTCTCGTTTCATCATCCGCCGCCGAAAGATTCCATCCGCACGATTTCGTCGCCGATCGCGCCGTTCTTGAAAAACGGAAAGGGATCGGGATCGCATGGAGAACGACACTCGACGGAAGTCGAGCATCCTGTAAGCGACTCGCGAGAGGTTCCCGTGCGCACGGAACCTCGAAACGATCGGTTGGTTGGTGATGGCAGCACGGTGGCTACCCGCGTGGTGTTTAGCGACGCGCCGGTTTGTCAGTGACGGACACCGGCGAACGGAAGCCGCGAATGAATTGCAGTGAACGCGTCCGATCGGACGTGAAGCGGACGTGAGGAAGCACCGATTCGCGGTTGTTCGCGCTCGTCGACGATTTTTCGTCGACCCTCTTTCTCTCTCGACAGGCGGACACGCGTAATTCCGGGAGAACACATCGCGCGGACGTGACTCTCCGCTTCGGGCGATTCTCTCGGATCCGCGACGATAATCGAAGACAAGTGGGCTCCGACAACGCGCAGAGAGGTAGAGTCGATCTTCTGTCTGGACCACCGCCAATTTCAGCGTGCGCGACGATGCCTCTGGCCTCGACCAGAGCTACGCGTTCCCGCACCGGCCAGTCTGTCATCCGCAGGAATCCACCGACAATATTCTCATAGGCGACTTTAACGTTCGGCAAACGGCAGACGAGATTGCTCGCGCAAACGACGACAGGCTCGCGCGAGTGGAAAAGAACAAAGTCGGGGAAAATGCGGTCGACCGTGTGGAAATACCGTCAAGCTCGTCGCACCGGATGAGAGCTACATCGGCATTGTCGCCGTGTACGCCGATTGGCGATCGGCCTTTGACCTTTGCGCGCACGCGCGCGCTGAGCAGTTCGAGGACCGGGGAAAAAGTCGCGAGCGAAAGTCTCGAGTTGGCGAGCTGAGCTAAGAACGGGGTCGACCTCTCTCTCTCTCTTCCTCTCTCTCTCTCTTTCTTCCTCTCTCTCTCTCTCTCTCTCTCTCTCTCTTCCTCTCTATCTCTATCTCTATCTCCTCTTCGACTCGCCGAAGCCGCGAACTCGAACTCGAGGTCATGAAGGTCCGAAGTTATCCTGGTCGGGCGGTTCTCGAGGACTCGGAACTCCTCTTGGACCCGGATGCGACGCGCGGCCGAGCGATGGAGTTGCTCTACGAAGCCAGTTGGCGAGAGTGCGGTGTCAATTGGGCCAACAATAACAATGCGGGCAGAAACGGAGTTAAAGTTTCCTCCAGGCAGCAGGAGGACGAGGCCTTACACCGACGGCCATACACCGACATGGTGTCGCAGCTCGTGACCGAGCTGGAGGAACATCCGACTGGATGTTCGTCGGCGACGAGGGAGAACGCACGGTCCAGGGGATCTAGCAGCACCGACAGCGACTGTTCCGACATGAACCAGCCGACAACCGGCAACGCTCAGGGGGGCTTCCTCATTCCAAGGCCGCGACTGATCGTGCCGGTTCACACCTACGCGAGGAGAAGGCGCACCGGCGCGCCGCAGCCTATAAAGAAACGCCAAATACGCGAAGGTATATATCGGCCGCGCGCGCGCGCGCGCGGATGTCGGACGTCAGACGCGAGGATCGGGATCGATTTTTACTCATTCTCTCTTTCTCTTTCTTTCTGTTTCTCGAAGAAGGGATTGAGAACGATTTTATGACCGGCGCGATCGTTGAAGGCTTGTTTCGTTTATGGGCTGAGGAGTCGCGTGAAAATTTCGATTGAGCACTCTTCTCGCGGTGTTTGAATGCTTGCTGTCAGAAAGCATGCGGCAGAAAGGAAGAATTGAAGCCCAACATTGAGTCGGAGTCCTCTCCGAAAGGGGAAAGAGAAGTCCTTTCAACGGAAAAATATCTGATTCTAAATTCCCAATTTGAGTTATTACGGTCATTAACTCTTTCACTGTTAGTGGGAGGTATACTTCCCACCTTTTCTTGATTCAATTTTGCATTGTAAATCACATAATTCTTATACCCAATTATATTAATTTATGATTATTTATAACAAATCAAAGTTGATGATTGAAAAAAAATGCTTTTTTTAGGGAAAAATCGATTCCTCGCGGAGAGTATTGAATGTAGAGGTCTGAAATTTTTACCAAATATTTTTCTGATGTTGTACAAAGACATATATTTTTTTTTCAGTATTTTTTGCAGGTTAGATTTTTTTTTTTAAACAAATATTTCTACAAAAACGGCCGAGATGTGACTCTTTTGCACTTTTTCCTAGTTTTGCTCTATTTTCCTAGTTTTTTCATTCTCTATCTCCATCTTATTCATACTTCATATCAATATTATTTTACTCAAAAATGAATGTTTAATCTCTAGTAAGCATAAATGTGCAGTATTGAACCTACATTCCCACATAAATTTTTTCCAGCTCGATCGAATTCCATCGTCTAGAATCATATGTTCTTATTACAACCTGGTCATTATTTAATAATAATTGGAATTTTCATTAATTTTGTACATCATGATCGCCATATTGAGCCATATCCGCCATTTTGAATTTGACAAATCTTACTTTAGATTCGTAATCAGCGACCCAAAGAATGTAGAGCTACCAAATATTTTAATAATTTTCTCAAGGGAAGTTAATTCAGCAGTGAAAGGGTTAACACGGGTCTTAGGCCCATGGTACGAATAAAAAAACGTGAGCAGTAAGCAAATTGACTAACTACGATTTATTATTCTTTTTACGATCTGAGAATATTATTCTTTCTACGGTCAATACACTTACTGCTCACGTTTTTGCGCGTCTTCGGTCTCTCAGAGTTTAGTCAAGACGGAGTATTTGAATGAGCGTCGTTTGAGGATCACTCGAGGACAATGTCCGATTATTTTCAATTGATATCTGCCCGTAAGCTTTGCGACACCCATATGCATGGTGATTACGATTATTACGAAAAAAACCCACGTCAGTTTAACAGCGACTTCCGTCTCGATGTACAGTCTGTAAAGTAAGAGCGTGCACGGGTTAATGTGTAGAAAAATTTATTTTTAATGATTTTTAAGTACATGGATTTGTTGTACTCCATGAGAAGAAAAATACTATACCATTAATAATGAGTCGAGTCACCACCGGCATTGATAATTGCCTGGCATCTCCGAGGCACTTTCCACTAAGTTGACTGCGTATTCGTTCGGTAAGGACCT